TATTGTTAGTTGACTTTATGCAGTTCAGACTTTTTGGGGGGAACTTTTTTTAGGTGTACACATTTTTACTCACAGTTTAGAGTTTATACTGTGTATCATCATTGGAAGTTATACATTTCAATTTAGACTTTGTTTCTTGGTATTCTGACTTTACATATTGCAATTTTTACTTTTTTGTTAATTGTTAAGTTTACGACGTTTTCACATTTGTAAGTTTATCGTAACTGGAAGTTATACATTCGTAATTGTGTGTTTACTTTATGCAACTCAGAATTTTTCCTTCTATTCGTATATCCTCATAGTTCTGACATTGCTTTTTTTTTAAATAGTAAGCATTACTCTAGTCACAATTGCCTTTTTTTGTCATTTACGCTATAGAAAAAATAGATTATAAATATAACATCAGAGTTTATAGCTTATAAAACTCTCAGTATAAGAACTCCAGTCCTAAAACCAACACATTCAGTGCACTTTTTGTCCAGTGCATGTACTCCAAGTTTCCAATGGCTCGTGCTTCATCCCGCTGCGTGAACTTATTTCAGCGTCAAAACTCAAGTTCATACGAATGGCCCTTGCCGAGGGGCCCTCCCGGCGTTCGTAATTATTAAAATAACATTTTCAAAGACTCGTCCGCCGGGTTTGCAGGAAGAGGGAGCGTCTTTAAAGGCGAGAAGAGAAAATTAAAAGGCTGATGCACAGATGGAGAGGCATCCATCACTTCACCCCCCTCAACTTTCAGGTTAAGAAGTTGTTTTGTTATCTCCCGCTCGCCCTTCGGGTGTGATTAAGCCTTGTTTTCCCTGTCCGCCTCGTGTACTTGCGCTTAAATGTCAAAACTATGGCAGGAATGCTGGAGAGGAGAGGTCAAATGAGGTCATACGGAGGATGTAAACAACAATGTTTTCTTTTCTTTTTTCTTAATGGACTGATCCACTTAAGGGAAAGAGCAGAGCTTGATCCCACAGGCCTCCGTGTGTGGATTCCAAGCTGGGATTTAGGTTTTAGATCGCAATCGGACCCGACCTGAGTTTTAACACGGGCTAGGGAAGGATCTAATCGTCTGCACAATAGACTCACTATTTGACATGCAGATTCCTGATCGAACTGAGTAATTGGTTAAGCTCAGAGAAAGGGTTTGATACCATCCGCTTCTTTATGATATGATGAAATATCCCTGCTGCCGTGCGTTCCTGTAGGAATTTGGACACAAGTGTTAACGTGCTGCTCAAATAGGAAACCAAAGATCATAAGCGTCGGACATGGTTTGAATTAGCATAAATGTAAGAGGACACTGCTCCCGCGGGAGTCTGCTTTAACTGCGCATATTTAGGGTCTTTAGGCTGAGCCTTGACATTTGATATTTTGGTCAAGTCCACATTCCGTGTCAGGTTTACTAAACCATAAAATAATGTCCATAGGGAGGCAGAAACTATTTGAGTGTTTAGCTGAAACTGTGGCTAAACTCTGGCAGAGCACCAGCGCTGTGGCTCCGCTTAGTGTTGAAGTGGAGAAATTCAGCTTTTTGTTTTACTGTAGTGCTTTTTAATGTGTATATTGTGTCAGTAGTGGACAAAAGTTTTTTTTTTTTTAAATAAAAACTTTTTAAAAACTATATTGTTGCTGTGTTTCCCAGAGATGGGTTGCAGCCGGAAGGGCATTCACTGTGTAAAAACGTGCTGGATAAGTTGGCGGTTCATTCCGCTGTGGCGAACCCAGATTAATAAAGGGACTAAGCCGGCAAAAAAATTAATAAATATATTTTTGCTGTGGTCACTAACTCATAGGGCCAGACAGAATCTGCTGACATTTTAGCTATTTCTGTTGAGAATTTTGTTAAAAATCTATGAATTTATGCGGAATGATTTTGGAAGTATCATAACCAAAAACCTAATATATGAAATAAAAAAATACCTTTTTAACTTTTATTCAATGCTTACAATGCAAATCCAATTAGATCCACTTAATTGGTAAACAAAGCAAGTCTTTTATATAATATCTCTACTAAAAGACTTTACAAACTGTACTGTCAATAAATCACAAACATTTTTCCTATTTGTCAATAATATTACTGAAATTGATTTAAAAACTGCATAAAAATAAATTTACACGGCTCAGATCAGTCCCACCTATGTATGACCAATGGATAAAAAAAGAGAAATTTAAGAAATGGAAAGAATAACTTATTGCCTTAGACTCTAGATTAATATATTTAAAGCAAGATGGATCCCAAATCTAACAATTATACATGATTAACTACATTACATACAAGATAAGTATATGAGACATCTCCCAATTGCCCCCAACGACCCCCTTTTTATTTTATTAATTAATCTTAATACATTTTATATATAAAATAAAATAAAACTGAAAATGTCCCTTTTTTCCTTTCCCCCTAATTTTTCCCTGTATCCCTGTATCTGCATCCTTACTGACTATTTCTGATGTATCTCTGATTTGTGTTGTGTTCTAATAAAAAACAGTTAAATAAAATAAATAAATACATTTACACAAGTAAAAAGTAGGACTGAAATCTGCTGAATTCTGCGTGCACAGATTTCGTGTGGGCTTTCTTATAAGTGTGGTCTATCAATATTGGGTAACACACAAAATGGTTGTTGTTGGTAACAAATGCAACTTCAAAATAATTTCACTTTAAACATAAATTGCACATTGTTATTTTGATCCGCTGTGGCGACCCCGGATTAATAAAGGGACTAAGCCGACAAGAAAATGAATGAATGAATGAAATACGTGAACATACCATTACAGGATAATAGCAGGACTAAACTGTAAAACACGGAAGAATCCTGGAAAAAACTGGAGGGCTGACAGGAATTACATTATTTGCTAAATTTACTGGCTTAATTTAGTTTATTTTCAGTATATCTGACTATGACCTTGTTAATGTTTACTGTAAACATATTTTGTCCTTTATCTTTGCAAAAAAAAATAAATTAATTAAACTGCATTTTCATCTTAAATTTCACTTCCATCAAAAGTTTCAAAAGCAATCCAACAATGCTAAATATTTAAATGTTCTACAATTTTTTTTATATTTTTTATTATTATTGGCAGTATGCATTCATTTTACAAAACATCTAAATCAAAACGCTGCACATTTTAATGTGGAAATGAAAAAATTTAAATAAGGTGAAAATAAGGTATGGCTGACAGCAGTGGGACATAAATAACAGTCTTACTTTCATCCTCACAATATGTTACTCCTTTTAAAAGTAAATCTAATATGTTGTATAGTCTCCTTGTTTTTTTCTGTGATTTGCAGTTTTCCCAACAGATTCTCAGTGGCTGTACTTATTTTTAACCTTAATCTTACTTTGTTGTTGTTGTTAGAATAATTACAAATTGTGCCATTGGAACCGACAAATCTAAAGTAAAACCAATAACAATAAAATGTACAAATATCTCACTCTATAGTACCCCATACTCTGTTAAAAGTGATTAGTTAACTGCGTTTAAAAAGGTAAGCAAAATTCCATAATTGTAAAAACTGAAGTTAACTTAACAGTTTCAAGTCACAATGGGTTTACTTACATTATTTTTAAGTAGTCAACTTATTTTTTAGAAGGCAACTTGTTGCTTTTAAGGCAATTGGTTTACTCGCTTTAAGTAACTAATCACTTTTTACAGTGTAGAAAGTATTAATTAATTTAAAAAAAAAAAAAAAGGTAATGGATGTTTTTCTGAGAAATCTGTCCCCATGTGCTCATTTATGCTGGGCACTAACTGTACATTATACGGTAATGCATGATTACTTTATTCACATATGTGCTTTTTCGAAGAATGATATGTGAATAAAATTTACTACTACAATAACATAGCAAGTGCTTTTAGTTGAGGGTCCAACTTTTCTCGAAATCCTAAATTGTTTCATTACCTTCAGCATGTCAAGTCTGACCTCTGCTGGACAGATGGAAAAAATGCAACATCACAGCATCCAATTAAAAAAATAAAAATCAAATCGTAAATTTAATGTTGTGCTGAGATTCATATTTATCTATTTAATATTGAATTAGTTTATATATATATATATATATATATATATATATATATATATATATATATATATATATATATATATATATATATATATATATATATATATATATATTATAAATAATAAAGCTGTTTTGTGTCAGTTAACAAATTCTTAACCCAACTGGTTAAGTTATTGATAGCTTAATAAAGGTTAAAATGACCCAATAAGGCACCAAATATTTAACTCAACTGGTTGAATTATTAATAAATAACCTAATAAAGGTTCAAAATAACCCAACAAATCACCAATGTTTAAATCAACCATTGGCTCAAATAAATAGCTCAACACTTTTTAGAGTTACTTTGTTCTGTTTCTTCATTGTTTGTGATTCTTGTTTTCTTGTCAAATGTAATGGAAATAAAGCATTTTCAAAATTTTTGTAAACTGTTACTTATTTTCACAACCATAATTAATAGTGGTACTAGTAATAGTAGCAATACCAAAATTGATAAATTAACATTTAATCAAAATAACCCAATGCATTGGGTTAAAATTACCAATAGTGAAAAAGGTGCTATAATTACCTATAGTTGACCTATTTATTAGGGTATTTTAAACCCAACTATTTTACCTGTTTTGGGGCTGGAACTGGTGCAAAAATAATGTTAATAAAATCTCACCGTCACAACTCACAAGTTAGTCATTCGTTATGTGGTAATTATAGCTTGAGCAACAATTACAACCTTACTAGCTAGTGTTCACAGGTATTTGGGTTGGGGTTTAGTCACTTCCGTTACGTGTCCTTCCTGAACGCGCCAGGATCTGTGGCTACTATGGAGAAGACCGTGATCTTAATCTTTACAATCCAACATTAATATTCATAAAACAAACCTTGGCTTTTGAATTCGAGCGTAGCAGCGTCATATAGACGTAATTTACATACAGGAGTTAACCCTTCGCTATTGGGCAGTTTGCGAGAAGCGTCTACCTATGTTAATTAATATTCATGAACACAACCCTTCGTCGTAGTAGGATTCTGGGCGGGGTTTGCATTCCAGCCCGCACACCTGGACAGGAGATCTGTTTCACTTTCCAAAGGGAAAATCCTCGGGAACTCACTTAGGTAAGTGGAATAAATTATCTTCTTTTAAGATATCTTCTTAAATCAATTTAGATTATTACATTTGTAATAAACGTTTGCTTCGTTTTCCATCCGTTTGTTAGTTTTATTCGACATTGTACACTGAAGCGGGTTGTAAAGATGTTTAGAGTTCGATATGAGATACTTACCAAATAAATGCTTCATATATCATGTTATTGATATATTATATATGAATATATGTTATATTCTTGCGAAAAATAACCCTGGTTTTATTATAGTAGGCTATTAGTGTAACCATGGGTTTGGCGTATTGATAAACATTTGTGTAACCTCAGTTTACTTCAAATGCCATGGTTAATGCTTAGTTAAACATTTTTACACGTATTTTTAAAGGTTACATGGTTTAACTACAAAAAAAAATAGTTTTGTTTAATTTATTGTAGTAAAACCATGGATAATCGTCGTAGGGTTACACATTTGTGCATTTTCTGAGGTAAAACCTGAGGTACTTTTACATGTTTGTTATTGTTACAGTTTTGTATAATGTCCATTAGTGTAGCAGATATGTCAAGGAAAGGATTTTCTTTATATATATTAACATTTACAGCACTTTGGTTACAGGAAACAACCATTTTGTGAAATATAGGTTATTCAGGTACACTGTTAAAATTATTTAAAGTAATTTTTTAAGTTAAGTGGTTGTAAACTATTTATTTGGGCTTAATTGAATCAAACTAATTAAGTTGAACACTACTAAACTTAATTTGTTTGAATTCAACACGAATTGTTTGCAACAGTTTTGCAGACAATATTGTTTTCAGTGTACTAGCTATAGCTCTTTGGAGATTAAAAGATTAACATTAAAAGTTAAGAGTTACAGATCTGTAGATTAGCACTTTGACTGTTGGTAACAAAGCAAAATGAAGCACTTTTAATTATAGTGCATACACAGATGATTTTATTTTAGTCTTCATGCAATGGTTGCATATTTGCAATCTTGATATGCCCTACTTGTTTATATCTGAAGTCATGTATCTGGCTTTTACACTATAGGAAGGTGTAAATACTTTTTTCTATGCCCTGCAGTCATGTTAACCTACTCGCTTACTAGGTATACCCCAGGGCTACATAAATAGTTTGTCTTGTTAGTTCAGAGCTTGTGTTTTATCTGTAATCTAGTCAAACATCTCACCCTCCCCCATGCACTCCTATTGAACGTGGAAAGACCTGATTTTTAAGTACTATTGAGAACTTAAATGCTGCTTATATAAACATTTTTGCCTTCCTATTTCATGAAGTCACTTACACTGTGTAGTTTACACAGCAATACTTGACTGATTGTGTTTGTGTGTGTGTAGGACCTGGGTTTTGTTGTTTACTGATGCCGATGATGAGGCTGTGTGATTTGTTCTGTTGTTTCTGCCTCTGTTCTTGTCTCGGCTTGTCAGGAATTTTAAGCTCAAGCCTCTGTTGTCCTGTAATCACATCACTCCTCCACCCTGTTCCTCTATTTCTCTGTCTGTGTTTTAGGAGATGGTGTCATTAGAGGCATTAAAGTAATAGCTCACCCCAAAAATACACTTCTGTCATTAAGTGTGTGTATAGTGATAAGGGTCTGCTAAGTACTGGAAAAGATAAACAAATAAATAAATCAAAATCAAAAAAATTGTGTCAGTGCTCGTATGAATATCGTATGATGTATGGACAAGGTTATTTTATTTATGTGATCTATTAAAACAATTGTGGAAAGGATTTACTATTAGTAATGTAAATAATAATCAGTTTTTGTCTGTTTATAATCAGGTTTTGTATGCAAAAGCACCACACAATCATTCCAGGATTAATATAGTTTTCTAGAACCATTGTTATAGCAACTTTGTATGACAAAAAGTTTTTAAAAATCTCATTTTCATTTTTATTTAGTTTAATACTTGAATAACAAAAGCAAAAAATCTATTAAAAAACAGTAAATATGTACTTAATATTAACATTTTTATAATAATGAATTCACAATAACAAAAGAAAAATTGCTAAACATTCGACAAATTAAATTGCAAATAGAAATACTCAAATATATATTTTAAGTGTGCTGTGTTTTCTGTTGTTGTTGTTTTTTTATATATAAAATGAAGGTTAACTAAAAAAATGTATTTCAGATTCTAAGGAAATTTCTTGTTTCCTACAGCTTAACTTTATGTACTGAAATAAAATAACTAAAACAAAAAGTACAGAATATTATTATAGACAAACAAGTCAAAAACTAAATAAAACATCTACAACTTACAATTGAAATATAAGTAACAATAATGTGCCAGGGGTGGCGCTGTGGGTAACGATGTCGCCTCACAGCAAGAATGTTGCTGGTTCGAGTTCTGGCTGGGTCAGTTGGCATTCCTGTGTGGAGTTTGCATGTTCTCCCCGTGTTGGCGTCCAGCTGGAAGGGCATCCACTGCATAAAACATTTGCTGGATAAGTTGATAGTACATTCCACTGTGGCGACCCCTGATTAATAAAGGGACTAAGCCGAAAAGAAACTGATTGAATGAATAATGTGCCAGTATTTTTTAAATAACTCATTTACACCACTTGCCCCATACATTTTTTTTTTCAGTTTATTTATGGTTGTGAATTGCATTATGGGTTGTTGATCTCTGTTCTGTCGGCTTTTGATGTTGTAAACTCAACTCTACGGTCTAACAAAGTGACATTTTAGTAGGGGTGTCACGATTTCGATTTTTAATCAAAATCGATCAAAATTTATGCTCAATTTCGATTATCGAATCAAAAAATTGAACCGTCGATGCTGCCACGCCCCCATGTCACGTCAGCTTGGCTTGCCAAGCGGGAAAATAACAGGCTTGTTGAAGTGCTTGTTAAACTGCAGAAGCAGGAGACCCGTCGACAGAACTTAAACCCTCTCCTCTTTCAGTGAAGTCGCCGGTGTGTAAGCATTTTGGATTTCCAGTGAGTTATGTTGACAAAAAAAAAACACAGTTTTGCAAGCTCTGCTATGTACGTATTATGTACATTTCGTCTGATAGACAACACCAGCATCGCGATCCTCTGCCCGCCCCCGTTGCAAATCCGCTCGCGAAAAGTACACACTCAGACCCTGTTTACACTGTCTTTGTTTTTAAATGGCATTTTAGAACGACAACGATTTGACATCCACAGTGGCGTGTAGCATTTCTGAGCAGCTCTCCTTCCTCTCTACCTCTGTAAATGCACATCACGTGACCACACAGACACAGACGCACACACAGCCATGCGCTCGAGACAGCAGGTCCAGGCAGTCAGAGGACTGCTTCAATCTTTTACTCACTTGTACTTAGTCATTTTAGCGAACACCTCAGATACTGTTGGCTGGTTCCTGTTGGTTGTGCCTCTTTTTTTACCGACGCCATTATAACGACACAGATCACTGCCTATTCACGAGTCCCGCAGAAAAAGTGATTGACAGGTGGTAATTATGTGTGTATCTTGCCTTTATTCATTTACTGTATGATTTGTTTATGGGTAAAACAAAGACCATGCAGGTCAGGTAGTTTAAACGGTAGGCTACAAATAATTAATTGGTCATTAATTAATTAATTATTCATAATCGAAAATCGAATCGTGCCTTTAGAATCGAAAATGTAATCGAATTGAGGATTTGGAGGATCGTGACACCCTTACATTTTAGTAGTTTGAAATAATACAATGTTATATAGAGAAATAAGTCTGCAAAATAAGGTTATTGTACTGTAATCCACAACACCAAACCAGATAATATATCACTCTAAACTATTAAAAATGTCCATAAGTCACTGTTTCAAACTTTTTGAGGTTAAAAGTTGTTGAAAGAAAGACTAAGGTCCCATAATGCAATTCAAAAGCATAAAAAATAAAAACATGAATCACAAAATATGGAAAACTGCTAAATAACAAATATTTTTACAGTGCAGATTAATTTTTTATGATAGCTAAACTCTCTGGTTAGTTGTTTTGGAAAATATAAACAATCAATATACTTTTAACATACATTCTCTATGAATTTATGTTTCAAGTTTTTACTGCAAATGTCACATTCATAACGCTGGAATTGCTCACTTCAGCTCTTCTTCAGAGGAAATATAGATATGAAAGCATGTGAGTAACCTGTGAGCAGTTGTGTTTCAGGCAGAATCATGGCCTCGGCCGGTGAACATGGACACACCTGGGAACTCAGCATTCAGGTGGACCAGCGGGAGGGAGACGAGGGCATGAGGTTTAAACTGCGGGTCAAAGGGGATCTGCACGTTGGCGGACTCATGCTCAAACTGGTGGAGAAGATCAGTGAGTTTATTTTTTTTTTTAGTTTAGTTTATTTGTTTACAGGGTCAATGCACATTAATAAACATTACTGTAAAATGTGCCAGAATTAGCCAAGAATGGCTATTTTTCATCCGTAGACCCTTTACAGAATGTTAAAAAGTCACACCTAAAATAAAAGCACAACATTAAACATTAAATACACTTTCATAAAAAATACAGTTAAAAAAGTAAAGAAAAGAAAAAAAGAAAAGAAAAAAAGAACAGACTGATGGCAGCAGAGGACAAAAAGCCAAAGACAACAGTACAAATGTGTCAAGAATACATTACTAATGCTGACAATGCTGATTTGTCAATAACCAATTTCTAACATGAGACTGAAAAGAACGAAAAGTGCATGATCTTCTAATTGTTGGTGGGATGGAGTTCCATTCCCTAGCAGCTTTCACTGAAAATACAGATTGACTGAATTTACTTTTTTTGAGAGGAATAATGCAGTCTCCTCTGTCACCTCCTCTAGTAGTTCGGTGAGCAGTCGTTCTAATATTTACAAACTGATTTAATGGTGAAGTCGAGTTATGTAAAGTCTTAAACATTAAACAGATATGTACATATGTAATTAAATTTTCCCAACTAAGCAGGTTGTATTTCTTTAATATGAAACAATGGTGATATTGAACTGATTTCTTATCAAGGGTTTTTATGGATTGTTTGTATAAAGATTCAAGTGGCTTCAGAGTAGTGATGCTGGCTTGGGACCAAGTGGTTTAACAATAAGTGATGTGAGAAATGATCATGGAGTGATAATAGATTAGGGCAGCCTCACATGACATCTGATCACGAATAAATCTAAAATTTGCTAAACTGAATCTGACCCGGTTACAAACCTTTTTAACCTGAGACTGAAATGATAGTTTTGAATCTATTAAAACTCCAAGGTACTTGTACTCAGATACAACTTGTAATCTTTCCCCTGATACAAATACATCTGGTACTACAGTTACCCTACCATAGAAAAAAACATACACACGGTTTTAGAGATGTTCAACTGTAAACAGCATTGAATAGTAGTATAAGGACTGCATGATGTATCAAAAAAAACAAAAAAAAAACAAGTGTGTTTGTCACTATACTTAAAAAGTAGAATAATATAATAAGAAAAGATTAGTTTGCAAGAAGGTCGCTGGTTTGAGTCCCAGGCTGGGTCAGCTGGCATTTCTGCTCCTGTTCACGTGGGTTTCCCCTCAGTTCAAAGACATGCTGTAAAGGTGAATTGGATGAGCTAAATTGGCCGTAGTGTATAGGTGCATCCCAAATCGCATACTTATGCACTATTCTACGCTATTTTATTGTATAAATAGTGTAAGTGGTGCGTTCACACTTAAAACTCTCTCTGAATACCCGGATGATGTACTCATTCAACCAGTAAAATGAAATGTGTAATGATGGACACTTCACACATTCAATGGCTCATGGTCTGCTCATGTAGCCGAAGGAGCCAAGCTTTCGGGCAGTGATGTTGGATTACTTTATTTACTTTCGATTGTAAAAGCGGTATTCTCCCTTGACAGTGATTATAGCGCCTCCCGATGGTGAATGCGGTTATACTCATAGCAGGTACTATTTGGTAGTTTGATCATTTACTTTACTAATTTGGTGAATGTCAAACGTCATCAGGGACAACATTAGTGCTCCATTTGGGATGACACTACATTCATATGCTATGCTGTTGTGTGTGTAAGTGCATCGTGTATAGTGAGCCATTTGGGACGCAGCTTATGTGTGTGCATGTGAGAGTATATGGGTGTTTTCCAGTACTGAGTTGCAGCTGGAAGGGCATCCACTGTGTTAAACATATGCTGGATCAGTTGGCGGTTCATTCTGCTGTGGTGACCCTTGATGAATAAAGGGATTAAACCAAAGGAGAATGAATGAAGGTTAGTTTGCAACATGTGGTAGCATAATCAGCTGTTTTTAATGTTTGAAAATCAATGGAAGGTAATGAGACAAAACGATTCCAATGGCTGTCAGCACATACGGGAAAAACAAGGCCAATAGACAAATAAATAATTATTTTCGTGCCAAATAATTAAACCACCAAATAATTAACCACAAAACAACTAAACTATTATTTTTAATCATGTTTGCAACATCAATCTATATCCATATGGACAACTTTTATGTTGTGGTCAGTTTGCCTGGTAGCGCACTCTCTAGTGTTGTACTTGTGATGCAGATCGCTCAAGTTCAAGTTAGGTAAAGCACGCATTTACAAAAGCAATAAAGGCAATGTAAAATCAAGGTAAATCTATGGCTTCAATTGACTTGTTCTTGTCTTTTCTTTTGAAAGCACTCTTATCAAAATGGATCCTATGTAACATATTTCAGATTAGCATAAATTTAGACAGCGCCCTCTAGTGGATTTGTCATATGAAATGTGCAATGAAATGTACACGCAGACAACATATTAAAGTTTCACAAAAATGTAGGCCAAGGCATGTATTTCCAATCATTGTGGGTTGATAGTCCCTACTTGTACCACAACACATCAGAATTGTGCCTAAAAAACTATTATTACACTCCTAGTAATTAATTCATTTATTAATTTTCCTTCGATTTAGTCCCTTAATTATCAGGGATCGCCACAGCGGAATGAACCGCCAACTATTTCGGCATATGTTTTACGCAGCAGATGCCCTTTAGGCCACACCCAGTACTGGGAAACACTCATACACTACAATTTAGTAAGTTAACGAATGTCTTTGGACTCTGGGGGAAAGTGGAGCACCCGGAGGAAACCCACATGAACACGGGGAGAATATGCAAACTCCACACAGAAATGCCAACTGGCCCAGCCGAGCCTCGAACTGGTGACCTTCTTGCTTTGAGGCAACAATGCTAACCACTGCTCCGCCGTGCCACACACTCCTAGTAATTATTATATAATTAAGTATATTAATCGTAATTGTCTGCTTTTATGTTTCAAATAACGTTGGTAAAGATGTCAAAATATTGCTTTATTTATGTCATTAGCATTTAAACATAACCATATGTTACGTATTTATTAAACATTTGTTTTTAACATATCTATGTTAAAAGCCCTACTTCTTAACTTTAATTCTAGAGCGTCAAACGCTGGTTGACATGCGCAGGTATGTCCATGTTTGCCTTGCATATCTTTGTATAACCGCGTGCTCTGAGCTATTGTTCTTTGACTGAGGTGCTGTTTACTGTTGCAGAGTCTGAAGTTCACTGTGTCAACCTGAGAGGCGATAGCAAAACAGATTCATCACACCACCCACTGACTATATTATGCTTTGCCTTCATCTACTTATATTGGTCATTTATGAACACTTATATTTAGGATTACTTATGAACATTATTTATCAACATAATCTTTTTAAAATGTCACCAAAATTGCATTTACTTAAATAAAAATAGAGTAAAATGATACAATTGTCAAATAATAATAGTAATATTATTTCGTATTGAATGTAGTTTATAATTAAATCTATTCCTGTGATTTAAAGCTGATTTTTCAGAGTTATTTCTTCAGTCTTTAGTATCAAACAATCCTTCAAAAATCATTATAATTGCAGATTTTTTTAATAATTATTATTGATAATCAATTAATCAGTCATTAAGAATGACTCTTATAATTACATTTATATATACTTTTCATTTAGCGGACTCTTTCAACCAAAGTGAATTTCAAGAGTTCACACTTAGCTGATATCAATAAAGCATAATTGACATGCTGTCCCGGGAGAGAGCCCTGAGCTCGTAATATCCAATACGAAGATAACTGGAGTGAAAAACTCTGACTTATTTATAATGCTTCCGTGATCATCTTATAGGGCAGATTACGGAGCTAATGAGGTGCCAGCCGTGTTGATCATAAGCACGTGATCCTCTTGAAACTAGTTTATAAATTAACCACACTAAATGAGGACTTACAGTAGGGAAAATAAGCATTGAACACGTCACTATTTTTCTCAAAAAACATATTTCTAAAAGTGCTGTTGACTTAAGAAATGTTCCCCGGATGTTGGTAACAACCAAAGAAATCCATATATGACAAACGATTGTTTATTAAATTACCGCAACACAATTTATTCCCAAACACTTGAGCTGGTTTCAGGTCTTAGTTCTTTCCTTTTCTTTTTCAGTTGTTCTACTTTTAAAAATCAATTTATTTAACTTGTTTGTTAATTAAAAACAGTTTTGTTGTTAAGCCTATTATTTATTATTGGCTATGAGAGGTGGCTGTGCCCTTACGTGCAGCGCTCGCTTCAACTGCAGCTGAGAGAGAGTGGGAGAAAGAGAGAGTGCAAGAGAGACGAAAGTGTCGGTCCACTGATGTTGATGTGAACAGCTGAAGTTGTCAAATTATTTGTAGTTCATTCGTTAATAATAATGATGATGATTAAAAATAAAAATACTATTCATTTTATTCAATAATTCAATTAAAACATGTAATAGGCAGGGCCAGATGAAATCTGTGGATGTTTTTTGCTATTTCTGTGGAGAATTTTGATAAAAAATCTGTGGATTTCTGCAGAATTATTTTGGGAGTATCATAACTATATGTGAAATAAAAAAATAAAATATTTTTACCTTTTATTTAATGTTTAAAATGCAAATCCAATCAGATCCACTTTATTTGGTAAACAAAGCAAGTTTCTAATATAATACATCTACTAAAAGACAGAAAATATTACTGTACAATCTGCATTGTACATAAATCAGATGAACATTTTTATATTAATATTTTAATATATTAATATATTAATATTTATAATAATATTACTGTAATTAATTTAAAAACGGAATAAATATAGATTTAAATGCATTAACTTAAGAATAAAATAGAATTAATGATGGGCTAAAAATCGTTGGAAATCTGCGGAAAATTTGCAGAATTCTGCGTGCTGAGATTCCGTGTGGGCCTAGTAGGTCTAAATAAATGTGAAACAAGCTAAATATCGTCTTTAAAATCGTCATAAGTCTCAGCTCTTGGCAATAGCTTTCCCTATCGTCAATACATGATACTATCGTCTATCGGCACAACTCTAATATGAAGCAGTCAACACAGTTTTCAACACTAATAATATTATTAATAATAATAATAATAATAATATGTTTCTTGAGCAGCATATTTTAAACAACTTTCAATGACAATTATTTTTTTTTTTATTATATTTTACAATTTTACAGTTTTTTTTATTTTTTCTTCTTGTGTTTTTGGTTGTAAATGCAGCTTTGGTGAGCAAAAATGCTTCTTTTTGGGAAAAAAAAGCTTTTTGTAGTCAGTTTAATGGGTATATCTTTGGCACGTTGGCACAGTGTATAGCGCTGTAACCTCACAGAGGCGTGCTCCGGTTTCCTCCACAAGACATGCGGTACAGGTAAATTGGGTAAGCTTAATTGTCCTGAGTGTATGGGTGTTTCCGAGAGATGGGTTGCAGCTAGAAGGGCATCCGCTGTGTAAAACCTATGCTGGATAAGTTGGCGGTTCATTCCGCTGTGGCCACCCCAGATTAATGAAGGGACTAAGCCAAAAAGAAAATGAATGAATTAATATTTGAGCACAGACACAATGTCTTAATCAGGATATTATGAGGCAAATCAGACGATTATCATTGTTGCACATGAAGAAACTGTGAGCAACAGAAGAGTCATTAAGGTTTATTTGAGTTTGTGATGTTATTAAACATTGCTTCATATTCAAGTTAATCAGCGGCGGCTGGTTTGAACTGATTTAGTGTGGTGTAACGTCTGTTGTTGTTTAACTTCACTTTAAACCAATTCACATTCCTGTTCCTGTTTATAATCAGTTATTAGAAATGATTTATTAAAACTATTATGGTTAGAAATGTGTTAAAAAATGGGGAGGGGGGTATACAGGGGGGCAAATAATTCAGGCGGGCTACAACTGTTTAGAATTTATAGAAACTTCTAACTATTTATTGTTACCTCGCTTATTGGTTAAATCTTTCCATGTGTGTGTTTCAGAGGCTCCTCAGGACTGGTCAGATCATGCCATCTGGTGGGAGCAGAAGAGCTGCTGGCTGCTGAAGACTCACTGGACTCTGGATAAATACGGGATCCAGGCGAACGCTGACCTGCGCTACACTCCTCAGCACAAGTCCCTTTGCATTCAGCTGCCCAACATGAAGAACATCAAACTGCCGGTCACTTTCTCCGGCGTTGTCTTCAGAGCTGTGGCCGAGATCTGTAAAACACTCAGTAAGAGCTAAATTCTGTTTTATGAAGAGAAGATTTCTAAAGATAACAGTTTTCTTAACTAATTTCCAATAACTGATTTCTTTTATTTTTGCCATGATGACAGTACTAGATATTTTAGATACAAGTATTCAGCCTAAAGTGACATTTTTAAGGCTTAACTAGGTTAATTAGGCAAGTTATTGTATAACGATGGTTTGTTTTGTAGCATATTGAAAAAAATCTATTCCTTTAGGGTGCTTATAATATTGAACTTAAAATGGTTTTTAAAAAAATTCAAGACTGCTTTTGTTGTAGCCGAAATAAAACAAATAAGACTTTCTCCAGAAGGAAAAATATTATCGGAAATACTGTGAAAAATTCCTTGCTCTGTTGAACATCATTTGGGAAATATTTGAAAATTAATAAATAATTCAAAGGAGGGCAAATAATTCTGACTTCAACTGTATGTAATTGTTTAGGTACTTATGAAATAAAATGTAAAACATTTATAAATGAAGTATCAAGATATTTATTAACAATAAACGAAATAATAATACAGTGTTTATTGCACGTTGTTGCATATAAACAATAAATCGTTTTAGATTATTCATGATTATTATTATCATTAATTCATCTAAAAATTTAAATCTATTTCTGTGTTTTTTCATTTTCATCATTTAAAATTATGATTTTACCTGTAATATGTAATAATAATAGCAGTTGATATATTTTTTAATAATTATTACTAATATTATAATCATTAAGTCCCAAATGTAATATTCAAATATTTGATGACCTTATTGCATATTTTATTCATGTTATATCTAGTTTTTTAGGATATCCTCCTGAGACCAAAGAAAATGTATTTCTTTTTTTTATCTCTGATTTCCTACATCATTTGCGTTAAAAAAAATTCTACAATTTAGAGTTTTTACATTTTGTTTTTTATTTTTAATTTTACAGCATGTCCACTGTAGTAGACCACAGGACCATTTTAGTTCGATACGGCCGCCAAACTCAGAGAAGAGAGCCGAACTCAAAAAATAAATAAATAAATGTTAATCCAAAACAAATTTAGCATAAAATCGATTTAAAACTGACTATCATTCTCTAACTGTCTCTAATTCTCTAATTATTTGATTGTCAGACTCTAAATCAGAGTCTCCCTCAACTTTCTTATAAAGAATCCTCTCTGCTTCAGTTCTGCCTCCTACAACATGCAGTCATTAATTACATTAAGATGGTCCTGGTGTCCACAATAGTGGACATTTAAAAAAGGATGATATTTTGAAACACAAACTAGTTATAAGCTTTGAAAGTTAAATGTATTGTTCCTGACTCTTAAATATATATTTGTTTATGTAATAATAATAATAGTAAAAAAAAACATTTAAAAAGCTCAATTTTACATGCCTCTCTCTTTCCCATAAAATGTCCTTGTTTGTATGCCAGTCATTTTGGATGAAGTGTAAGAAGTGGTTCCTAGCATGCCAGCCAATCAAATGACATATCACTAGAAAGCCCAGAATGTCCTCTGAACAGTACAACAGAACTTGACAGAGTAGCTCAAAAAGTTCAAAGAAAACTCATGAAAACACAATGTCCACTACAGAGGACACAAGTCAATGGGCGGGGTCTCAGGAGGATGGTTTAAATAAATCATGTTTCATATAATCAATGCTCAGAATGTAGATTATATTTTTAAATATGTATTAAATAAAAGTATTTATGAATAAAGTATCAAAAATGCCTTTTCAAAATTTTTATAAATACAGTATTTATTGCATATTGTTTATTCAATTTTTTGTTTTTTAACAAATAATATTATTAAATTATTACTATTAATAGTATTATAATTATTTATAATAATAATAATAATTATTATTATTGTTATTATTTTTATCATTATTTTATATAAAATGTGATTTATTTTTATTGTTTTTATTATAAATTGTGATTTTTACATGTAATCTGTAATTTATACCTGTTTAATTATTATTAGCGATATAAACATTAAATCCCAGAGGTAAAAAAAATAAATAATAATAATAATTGTGATCAAATTACATATTTTACAAGATTTATGATTATTTATAATATTTATATAAAATTTATTTTCTTTTATAATTTATTTAAATGCTCTTAGTATTATTGTTGTTGTTGTTGTTGTTTGTTTCATGTAAACATTGTTTAGCATGTGGAATATATTGCACAATTTTATTGAAAATTGGATTATTTTATTTATTTATTCATTTATTTATTTGATTATTTTATAAATTTGATTAATTTACATTTTTAGTTAGACTTTCTCCACATAAGTTAACCTGTTGTTGTTTGTTAACTCTGTTTACAGACATTAGAAGAACCGAAGAACTTTCTCTCCTGAAACCAACAGATGAACCCAAGAAGAAAAAGAAAAAAGACAAAGGCACAGATTTAGCCACTGATGAGATATTAACCATGGACATAACTGGAGGTGTTTATCATTACAGAAACAGGAAGCTAACATATAGCATAAAAAAACATCATAAAAATTAGCATACCAGGTGGCTCTGTGGTTAGCACAGTTGCCTCACAGCAAGAAAGTCACTGGTTCTAGTCTCAGCTGGGCCAGTTGGCGTTCTGTGAGGAGTTTGCATGTTTGTGTTGGTTTCCTCTGGGTTCTCCAGTTTCCCCCACAGTCCAAAGACATGCGCTATAAGTCAACTGGATGAACTAAATTGGCTGTAGTGTGTAAGTGTGTGTGAATGCGAGGGTGTATGGGTATTTCCCAGTGCTGGGTTGTGACTGGAAGGACATCCACTGCGTAAAACATATGCTGGAATAGTTAGCGGTTCATTCCACTGTGACGACCTCTGATATATAAGGGACAAAGCCAAAGGAAAATGAATGAATGAAAAATAACATACCAATAAACAAAACAATACAAATATATACATTCATTTAAACATTAGCCGCATTTCCACTATCAGGCCAGTGCGAGCCAGGGCTTATATCGGGCCAGGCCGGGCCAATCGCCCGGGAGGTTGAGCAGTGAGGCCGAAATCATGTCGCGTTTCTACTGTGGGGCTAGTAGCTCGCAGCGCGTCACGTAAACCCCGCCCCCAGAACATCCCCCGAATCGAACGTCACTCAAACCGCCCACTTCAGCGAGAATCATGCAGATAAAGCACATCATCACGAAACTATTAAAATTAGGACAACCAAAACAAACAAATGACACGTTACTGTACAGCAGTACAACGCATGTCTATACGCACATGCCTGTGTGTTTTCATTCATCATATTCATTTACTCGCCGACCGACTGGCATCGAAATCCAGTGGTCTTGCCACCAACGGAGGGACCCGGAGCGCAGGGAGCGCACACATCCATAATATAACACCACATATATAAAATTCTCCGTTAATAACTCGATATAAAATGTTTTTTATAACATCCTCTAGACAGAATCTGTCCAACATTCATCCCAAATGCTCCGGAGAGAACTGAAACATGATTTTTTCCCCCTATAGGCTTTATGACACTAGGTGATTCCCTTTATTTAAAGATGTTGCTTATTATATCTAAAGTAAAGGAAAGTGTTCAGTGTTTCAGCAAATAAGAGCAGCACGTAATAAAATATAGCCTATATTTCGTTGCGCTCAGCAGCTATGCACTAATAAAGCTCTTTATGTATTTAAAATGTCCTTTTTTAATTTTACCACGTCATATAAAAACACACACTTATTTGAGGACACAGAACACATTTTGAACTTGCAGTTTTCCCCGTCAAAAAAGTGCTGCGCAGCTGCAGACAGAAAAAAAAGGTCGCCTAGTTTCTGCGTTCACTCACCCCGAAAATGCTCTGTTTGCATGATTTGATTAATTTCATCGTATCCAAATACTTTATAAATAATATTTAAAACATTTTCCGGTGTTTATTTTTTATTTTTTTTTTAGAAAATATCTAAAATCTTTTTTTCAAAGAGGCTTTTGAAAAATGAAAGTTTAATATAAATTTGAAACAGTTTGATATAGTACCTAATTGTTATAGCTATAGCTTTTGTTAGTTTTATATTGGTTTATTTATTTAATGTGATTTTATTATAGGCCTATCTAATATTTGTAATTCTTTAAATTATTTCAATATAGGGCTATTTTATCTAGATATGACACTATTGTTTTGAGCCTACAAAAGTGGGCATGAAATTTGTAAAGTTTAATGTCCTACTGTTGTATTCATATAGTGTATTATCTCTAAAATAAATTAAAACAATAAAAAGAAAAGAAAAAAGCCGCTCGCGGCATCAACAGAGCTATGAATGGAGCGCTTTTTTCGGTCTCACACACATACACAGGCATCTAAACGCGCAAAAACACACACAGTATTAAACTTGACAAAACCTCTTGAAAACTACTGTCTGCTGTGTCTTTAATATGGTGTAAAGATTATTATGCGTTATTGAAACATCAAAGATGCAGCAAAGAAAGATCATTTTATGCAACAGCCTTACATTTAAAAGAGAAACTTAAGGGCGATCATATGCAAAAAAAGACCCCAGCCTATAATTTGTTCCAGATGTTTTCTTCCCCTTATTTATTTATTTGTTTGGCGCATGTACTCGAGTGCGATCGGAAAACTGTGCCCGCCTCTCCTTTCACTCCGCCCCGAAGCCCCGGCTGGCCCTCCTTGGCCCAAGGTATTCGGCGGGCCGAAAAAGGCTGGCCGTTGGCCCCGAGAAAGCCCCGCTTTGGCCCGATTAGGCCCCGGAAGTGACAGTGGAAACGCCACTGGCCTTGGCTCGCCCTGGCTCGCTCGCTTTAGGCGCGATAGTGGAAACGCGGCTATTAATTCTGATGTTTTTACTACACATGATTAAAAAAGAGCCCACAACAGCAGCAACACGTATAATTACTTGTGCATGTTGAATAAATGTACGTTTTTAAATATGCATTAATAAGAAATACAGTTAGAAGCAGTTGTGTTTGGATATACTTGTTCGATTTCTTTTTGCAGGAGCTCTGGGTATGTACAGTAAAACCATGACCCCGATCTATGACCCGGACAGCGGCTCACCTGTATCCTCCACCAGTCTGTGGTACGGTGGGAGTCCGCTGACCGCCTGCCAACCAAACTTGCCACCAGAGGAGCTCGCCAAACTGTACAAACCTCTAACCATGGAGGATAAAGCAGCCATTAATGCTGGGTAAGAGGAAGAGCACACAGACACCGCCACTTCATGGCCCGATCCCACTACTATTTTTAAGTATGAAAGGGAGGGGCTTCAAAATGGAACCCCTGGAAAATGGGACAACACTACAACACCTACACAGGTCATCATATGCCATCGCGATCTATTGCTTCATATAAAATCAACGATTTCATGTGATCATAATGATATAATGTGGCAATAAGATCGTAACTGTACTGTGCATTTACACCCTGGTCATATTCATCTATATAAAACATTAATATTATACCAGACACTGTAAAAGGCTAATTTCCAGCCACTAGACTTTTCTGACAGGGAACTTGTGTGTCTTCAAGTGACAGATGGGAATGATGTTGTGGGACAGCTGTACATAAAGTTCATAATAATTACAAAAAAATAACAATTTGTGCATCTCCTGACTGTAGCCATGCTGTCGTTGTGGCTGGTGTATTCTGGAAAATTTTTGTTCCCCTTGGTTTCAAGTGTAGTCCTGAAAAATCTCAGTTTGAAGGGGTATCTAGCCCTTTCCCTCAGCCCTATGCCTTAAAGCTATAGAGAATTGGGACAAGGTAAGGGGAAGGGCTAAGGGATAGAATTGGGATTGGGCCTAAACCTCTGGTGGCCACTAGAGAAATCTTCTGCTCATTTATTTGTTTTTTCCGAATTCAAACCCAACCTTCAAAACAAAAAAAAACGAGCATGAGGCATTTCTTTAAAAATGACGCTTTTACGCCTGCCGTTTTGCACGTTGGTGTGCACGATAACATTGGCACCCTTTATTTTGTCACAAGGAGTTTAACGTCCCAGGACAACACGAGCAAAAAGTGTCCTGGTGTGCACCGGTCTTAACTCTGTGCCAATGCATAACTACAGATGTGTTCAAAAATAATGAGAATATATTAATAATGAGTCCTGATCGGGAGGTAGTTTGATTCCGATCAAGTCTGAATCCCTGTGAACGGGCCAGATCTGGACATCCCTAGTTATTAATTTCACTAGTTGTTATCTGGGAATAACATACCTTGAAATGTTGTGACTGACCAATCTGAATCAAGTATTCTAGACAGATGTGTAAATACATTAGTTAATATATTTATTAACATGAACAAACAATGACCAATACATTCATTACAGTATTTATTCTTGTTTGCTAACATGTAAAGGTCAAAAAATTATAAATATAACATTTAAAATGCAAATCACTGTAACTGTGTTGTGTGTGCGTACAGATGGCTGGATTCGTCTCGTTCGCTGATGGAGCAGGGGATTCAGGAAAATGACAGACTCCTGCTGCGATTCAAGTACCACTGCTTCTTTGACCTCAACCCAAAGGTAAACCACATCAAAAAGCACATGAAAAAGGTCTATTTCAGACATTGAATTTTAAATTGAGAATATTTAAGTCATGGTTTACCTGGTTTCTGAAACCTGACTTGAACCCGGTTCAGCTTCGCTGTGTGTCTCAAGTCCGGAAAAGTCATACTGAGGTTAGTGGTCAGCGGTACCAATCTGTAGCATTCATTTAACACACAAGTGTAGTCATATTATGTACGCACGACTACATATTTGTTGGTTCTCAAAAATGTAGCCCATTTTTGGAAAACCGCAGATACACCCCTGATATAAGTCTGGCTGCATTTTGTGCGTTAAACAAACTCTATAGGTCGGTACGATGCCTCCATTAACTTGTGTTCCTTCTTGTGCCGATGTTGACCGCTTACCATTGTATAGACGGCTTTTCCAGCGAGATCAGTATGCTCGGTAGCTCACCTTGTACGCTATCAGACTTGAGACACAGAGTGGACTGGGGAGTCTACTGGGAGTCCCGTGAAGGATGGTTCCAGAAACCAGGTTAAAGCAAAATCTGTGGGAATTTTTGGTGAAAGTATGTGTCAATGATGCACTTCTTTTTTTAGTTTGCTTTTGAAAAGACTATCGGTTGGGTTTAGAGAAGAGAGTGTGAGGGTCAGCGTGCAAGAAAAGGAAATGTTAGTGGCAAACGTGGCCCAGTTACTGCAGCCTCTAGTAGATTTGTGAAAAAAAATAAGTGAAGTTTATGTATAAACAAACTTTTTAATCTAAAATAAATTAATCTCCAATCAGATGACTCCTAAACTACTATAATTACCCTGGGTTTCATTCCACTGCTATCTTCGTTTTGAAGAGTCCCCCCTTTCTCCCCTACTCCTCCTTAGATGGGTGACATGGTGACATTTTTGTGTGGAGTTTGCACTTCTCCCCGTGCTCACGTGGGTTTCCCCCGGGTTCCCCGGTTTCTTCTCACCGCCTAAAAACATGCAATTAAGTTAATTGAACAATCCAAATTGACACCATAGATATGCTTCTAGTATGTAGTTATTTTCAAGAGCAATCACTTGCTGTTCATTGGTTACTAGAGCAGGGGAGTTCTCGAGATCTACCTGAGCTCAAACTCCCCTCCCGCCTTGCATGGGAGGGAGCCCTGGGCTCGAGGATCTCATGAGCTCAGGGCTATCTCCTGGGACAGCATGCCAAACAAGCTTTTATAATTAATCATCAGCTAAGTGTGAACTCTTGAAACTGCAAGCAGATGTCTCCTTGGCTACATATTTACCTGTTCCCAAAAAATGTAGCCCTGGTAACATACTGTATTTCTAATGAGACTGGGTCGGCAAATTCAGCGTTTAGTCAGTGGATATCATGAAAAAGTCAAGGAATTTGACATGTGGCTTAGAGTTGGAACCCTGAGTGGAGTGATTCAAATGTTTATGGATGACAGAATTAGATGGCCCATGTCTAAATCAGCACGTGTGTGGTGTTTTTCTTCTCTTAGTATGATGCGGTGAGAATCACGCAGCTTTATGAACAGGCCAGATGGGCAATCCTGCTGGAGGAGATCGACTGCACTGAAGAGGAGATGCTCATGTTTGCATCCCTACAGGTACAGACTGGAGATTTGATGTTTTGTTTATTTTATTTTACTGTGTTTTTATTTGTTGTGTGTTTTTTTAATCAGACAAACAGGATGAACAGTAAAGGAATAACTAGGGAAAAATGTTATTAGTCATTTTTTAAGGAATTCAGTATTTTTTCAGGTATTTAAAATATTAAGAAAAACTAAATGAAAATAAAACATGCTTTTTTGGTTGCAAGCTGAAATATTTTTTATAGTCTACTTTTTCAATTTTTTTATACACTTTTATTATTTAAATCTTTTAAAATGTGTTTATGTTAGTCTTTTAAACATTTAATATATTTTACAAACCAGTTTTTTTTATTAGTTATTTCAGTACATTATGTTGTAGAAGTCATAAAGCTAAATGAAAATGTTGCCATAGCAACTAATTAAAATAAAATGGTTACAATCTCTGAAGTATTTTATTTGTATAATATATTTTATAGAATTTCAGTAATAGTTTATTTTATTTATAAGTAGCAATAACCAGTTTAAGTCATTTTAGTTCATTAACTTAAACTAAATGAAAATAATAAATGTTGCCTTGGAAAAAAAATAAAAATAAAATAAGAAAGCTCATTCTATGTAAATTCATTTTATTTGGTAACTTAAGTTAAAATTTATTTTATTTATTAAGTTTAGATTTTTTAGCTATTCTAGTATATTAAGTTAATATAAATGAAAAAAGAAATGTTGCCTTACTGACTACACTCAAAACCAAGGGGTAAAAAAATTTCCCAAAATGCACCAGCCACAGCGGCAGTATTGCTAAACCCGGAAGTTCGTATTTTACCGTCTCGTTTTACCGTTAAAAAAACGCTAAATTTCACGATCTATAATCTCTATTAAATAACTCCTGTACAGCAGTCCCACAGCATTCTGACACTCGAATACCCTGTCAGTAATGTCTAGTGGCTGTCAGTTGGCATTTTACAGTGTCTGCTATGATGTTAATGTTGTTTTTGGTGTGTTTACATTGATGAATATGGCCACTGTGTAAATACACAGTAAAGTTACGATCTTATTGCCACATTAGATCGTTATGATAACATAAACAGTGATCTCCTGAAAATAAATACCAAAAAATAACACAACTGGAATCACTACAGCAGTCGCCATCGTCCGATCTCACGGGAGAAGCAGGACATCGTGAGGACACATGATGACGTGTGCAGGTGGTGTAGTGCTGTCCCAATTCTTAGGGGTAAATTTTGAATACCCTCCCCTTAACCCTCGGTTGTAAGGGCCAAGGGGAAGGGGAAGGGGTACAAAAATTTAATTGGGATTGGGCCTACGTCTGGGATCCAAGTGCAGTTTATTAACAAGAATAGTCAGACAGGCAATGGTCAAACGGGTAGAAACTTGAGCATGTGGGTAATCCAAAAGCGTTATCAAAAACAGGCTAATGGTCAGGATTGTTTTTTAAACAAGACAAAGATTTAAAAAACAGGGCAAGACAAACGGAAAAACGCTTAGAAATGCTTCACTGGGAAAACAAGACTCAGCAAAGTGTGTGAAAATGAGAGCAGTATATATAGTCCATGTAATCAGCCTATGATGAGCTTCCAGCTGTGTCTATGCAATCATGGAGAGAGCTGGTGTGTGTGTGAGGTGCATGATGGGATTTGTATTTCATATCAGTGACAGAATTGCACTTCTCCAGCGATTTGCAACTGCTAGATTGCTGGTGATCATAACAGTAACAATTTGAAATATAAATGTTTACTTTTTTACTGTAGTTTATTTTAATGTCAGTCCAAGCTTACTTTATTTCAAGTAAAATAAATTGATTGTCAATATTTTAATGCATCAAGATAAACCAAAAAAAATCGAGAAATGCTCTCTTGTCAACTATTTGAAATGGAATGAATTCAATGTCAGTAAAAGATAAATAGCAAAACTTTTTATGGTGTTGGATTGGCTCATCTGAAAGGTATGCTGTTCTGTCAAGCAGTATTTTGTGTCATGACAGCGTAGATGGTGTTGATTTACAGTCACTTCTTTAGCACGGCTCTTTCTCACCTGAAGCTATGAGATAACTTTCTTAGAGGACAAAAGACGTGACATTCCTCAGCGAACACAAGATTAACAGCACAATAAGGTGAAGCTTAGGTGAGCATGGCACTAATACATGAGGAATGTGAAAAATAACAGTTATCAAGAAAACACATTGATCAGATTGCTTTCATGCTGTACACAATTTTTTGGCTGAATTGAATTTATGCATTGCACATTGCATATTTTTGTGCTTTTCGCCAACTTATTAGGACATTATTAACCCTTGTCATTTTTTTTTCTCATTCATTCATTTTCTTGTCGGCTTAGTCCCTTTATTTATCCGGGGTCGCCACAGCGGAATAAACTGCCAACTTATCCAGCAAGTTTTTACGCAGCAGATGCCCTTCCAGCCACAACCCATTTTTGGGAAACATCCACACACACATTCACACACACACTTATACACTACGGACAATTTAGCTTACCCAATTCACCTGTACAGCATGTCTTTGGACTGTGGGGGAAACCGGAGCACCCGGAGAAAAGCCACGCGAATGCAGGGAGAACATGCAAACTCCACACAGAAACACCAACTGAGCCGAGGCTCGAACCAGCGACCTTCTTGCTGTGAGGCAACAGCACTACCTACTGCGCCACTGCTTTGACTGTTCAAATCGACTACCCTTTCGTTATGTTTACGGCTGTTTTTGCCCCATTGGCTTCTTTTAAAATCACATTTTTTAATAGAAAAGCCATGACACCAAATAATCATGCATTCTTTATTGTTGGTGGTTTCCCTGTTGGGAAGAAGTAAAATTTGTACTATTTTACTGTTGATCATCAGTTGGCTCCAGTCGATCTGGCAGTCATTTAGTCAGTCAGTCAACAGGGGCCTCTGGTGGAATTACACCAGAATAACAGGCGCGAATGGATCGTGAGATCAGACAAATTGTACACTGTAGCCTTTGTGAAAACAAAAACGACAAAAAAACTTAGCTCCTGGGATGTATTTGGAATCTCCAGAAATGTGTATAAGGGTACGTTTTATTTGGCCATCTCCAGAAATGTATATAGGGGTACGTTTTCAGAATGAGCCTGGGTTGCTGTTATTAATTACTCACCCTCATGTCGTTCCAAACCCCTGAGGCCTTCATTCATCTTCAGAACACAAATTACAGTTTTTTAGATGAAATCCAGAAGCTCTCTTATTCTCAAAGGGTCCCAATGCAATCAAAGTCTAGAAAAGAAATTAAAAACAAAGTCAAAATATACCATTTGACTTCATCATATAATGCAATCAGGGCTTGACTTTAATTATTTTAATCACCAGCCACAGTGGCTATTAGTTTTCCAACATTACTAGCCACTCGCCATTTTCACTAGCCACAATTTGGTGTTGGGAGAATATTTTTATATGCATAAATTTGACTGACATGCTAAAATTACTTGATTTAGATTTTGTGTTTTGTCCACATGCCTCCTCAGTCATTTCACGTTTTGGTGAAATGTCATGGTTTCATAATGTTATACTGCAAACAGTTTTTATTTCAGACTTAAGACTTTTCAGAATTAAGGATTTACCAAATTTATCTCTGACCACACCAAACAAAAATGATTTCTTAGCCTCAAATTTTAAATGTGTCCAAACAGGCTAAATATAGCTGTATACTATAATTTTGTTTAAACAAAAAATTTCTTTAAAATACAAAGAAAAACGATTGACTTTTAAAAATAATTATTGTCATGTATCAAAAATATGCACAGTAATCTGTCCTGGCTAAAGGTCTCTCGGATCACCAATTAACCACACATAAGCGGAGAGTTAATCTAATATTAAATCAATGTTGTTGTAAAAAAATAAAATTAAACCATATAAACAAAAATAACCGTAAGAAAAAAGAAAGCAGGTGAAAAACATACTGTGTGTGATAATAAAAGGATGATCACACGGTTAAGGCCAATTAATAATCTGTTCAAAACAAAATCAACCGGTGCTGCTTACAAAAAGACATATTTGGAGCTCTTTAAAGCAGCAAGACTTTAAGTGCATGAGCATAACTTTTTGTCTGGTCTACATGAAAGAGAACCGATCACAGTTGCGTTCCAGGAACGGTTGCTTCAAGCAAGAAAAAGTCATGCACACGCGCATCACATCAGCTGTTAGCGTGACTGATCAACCTCTTATTCGGCATTCACCTGCTTTCTTTTGCTCGTGTGAACGCAATTATTTTTGTTAGTCGTGCTGTTTCTCAATTCTAAGATCACATTTGCACGCATATTGGGTCATCCATATAGTCGAACCCTGCTTTTAAGAAAACCACAGTTTAAAAATTATTTTCAACCAGCTGAAGGGGCTAGTGAGAGTGACTGTCTAACCCGCCAAAGCTAAAATCTACCCGCATTTGGCGGGTTGGCGGATGTTAATGTTAAGCTCTGAATGCAATCATATAAAGTTCTAAGAACACTTTAGTATGCTAAAAAAAAAAACTCTTTCCTTTTAACTAATCCTTTATTTCCTTATTTTTCTCAGTATCACATCTGTAAACTGACCTTATCGACGGAGCCACTGGACAATTCAGATGAGAAAGAGGTTGATGAAGTGGAGGCTGCGCTTTCAAACTTAGAGACTCATCTGGAAGGACGAAACGCTGATAAGATCCTGGTATTACTGACTTTTATGACATTATGATTACAATTATGTTATATCTAGAACCCGGCTGAAATTCATTGATATATTTTTAATAGAGCGCAAGGTCACACTTTATTTTAAGGTGACGTAGTTACAGTGTAATTATTCATTTAACTACTGATATGTAATTATGCAAAGCTCAGGGTAATTGCTATAGTAAGTGCATGGAACGTGTCACTATGTCACCTTAAATTAAAACGTTACCCTAAACAGTTCTTTAAAATTGTAAAGATTCTCTGTAGTAATGTTATTACTGTATTTTTATTTAAATTAATGCAAACTTAAACTCATAAAATACTGTTAATAACATTTTTTTTTTAAATCTTTCAGGCTTCAGACTTTTTAACTGCTGTATGAATACTAACATGTGCTTTTCCTTCCAGGAAGATATAACGGACATTCCAAAATTGGAGGATACACTCAAACTGTTCAGGTGAGATTAAAATTGATGATGAAAAATGATGAATTATTTTTTCATAAATATGTTATCCACAATGAGGAAGAACATTATTTCACACATATTTTGATACTTTATTCTTTACACACACACACACACACACACACACACACACACACACACACACACACACACACACACACACACACACACACACACATATATATATGAGCAATATCACCCTCATAGCAGTGCCATATGGCTGTATATCAGCACTGGTGGGAGGTGTGCATTGGCTGGAGGCCGCAGGCTGAGTGCCCTAGTGTCCCACCAGTAATAATATACAGCCATATCGCACTGCATTTATACAAAAGTTCTACAGCACAATTGTGTATATAAAAAAAAGAAAATTAACACGGAGAGTCTCAGAATTCCTTTTGTATGAGGAACTACTTTCTTACGCCATTCATATACATCTGCAGCTGACAGTCAGAACAGCAGAAACCGTTGCTCATTCACCAATGTCACTTTAGAGCTTGTATTTGAATGATTCTCTTGCGTAATGTCTAAAGTGATGACAAAACAGGTGATTCTGCTGACATTTTAAGATTTTAAGGCTGAACGGCATGAAATGCCATCAGTCTAGAGATATCTCCCAGTATTTCTCTGTTGCAATCAGGATATCTTGATAATTAACCCCGAAAAATCCAAAGCAAAGCAAACACTAGCAGATTACTATGGTATAAATACAGCACTGCAACATACAGAAGAGAGAAATCGACTTAGAATGTCACTTACCTGTTTTATAATGATTTGATCAGCTGTAGTTTGAAATTTACGCTGAGTTTTTCTCCCCTATGCGGTCTCTGTTGTCATCTTGTGGCAGAGCATCAACCGTGTTTGCTCTGCTCAATGACAGGCTAATGGCTGTCGTCGCGTTAAATCTCAGAAATTATAAATATTTAAAATAGGCACTCTCCTTATAAATAAACTGCATTTTTAAGGTTTAAATCCACAATTAAAGTTCATTATTTTCTTCTTTGTTCATTTTCCACTCTACAGGCCCAAGCGACTGACGTTAAAGCCGTATAAGGAGTACTGGTTTGTTTTTAGGGACACCACCATTTCTTATTTTAAAAACAAAGATTCTGCCAATAAAGAGCCCATTGAGCAGCTTCATCTACGAGGTGAGCAGCCAATCAGAGAGCATGTCATTCACTTCAGTGCATTTGCAGAGCGATCATTAACATTATCAATGTACAGGATGTGAGGTCATTCCTGATGTCAATGTGACCGAGAGGAAATTCGGCCTCAAGCTATTATTGCCCGCAGCTGATGGGATGAACGAGGTTTACATTCGCTGCGAAAATGTGAGTTTTGTATCTCTAATTTGCATGCAGATAGTTGTATATGTCTTGAAAAAAATTACATTCAAGAAACTTTTAGGTTTTAATAATATTTTAAGATAAACATTTACTGGAGCACTTTAAGAAGGGTAACGCTCAGTATAAATATAAGCAACGGCTCCAAATATTTTTCTTATTTTCACTACATCTTACTATAAGAGCCATAAAAGCCTATGAAGTCTTACCACTCAATAAAAACCATGCACAAGCATTTGTATTTAGATGTATTTAGCAGATTACCATGGTATAAATACAGCACCACAACAAAAAGAGAGAGCTCGATTAGAATGTCACTTACCTGTTCTATCAAGATTTGTTTAGAAAAATGCTGTATTTCTCCCCTAAGGACTTATTATGTGGTTTCTGTCGCCATCTTATGGCGGAACGTCAATCGTTTCGCTCTGCTCAATATGACAGGCTGATGGCCGCCGACGCGCTGAATCTTCAACATTTCAAATAGGCTCTATCCTTATAAATCTGAAACTGCAAAGTTGCAATCTAAACAACTACAATCTTGATTAAAAATGCCTCAAAATTACATTATGTTGCCCAACAGCTGCAATGTTTGTCAAACTGTAGTGAGTTGTTTAGTCCCTCTTTAATCCTAGAGTGGGCGTAGTAATACATAAGGGTAAAGAGCCTGTAAGAGTGCTGGGGCTCTATTTTGACGATCTGGGCGCAAAGTCCATTAAGGGCATGTCAGAATCTACTTTAAGGGCATGTCAGAATCTACTTTTCCTATTTTAATGACGGAAAAATCTGCTTTGCGCCGCAGCGCATGGTCTAACAGGGTTGAGCTTATTCTCTTAATGAGTTATAGGTAGGCCCACACGGAATCTGCGCACGCAGACTTCCACAGATTTTCAGCAGATTTTTAGCCCATCATTAATTCTGTTTATTTACTTGAGTATATGTGTGTAAATCTATATTTATTTAGTTTTTAAATTAATTACAGTAATATTACTGACTAATATGAAAATGTTCATCTGATTTATGTACAATGCAGTTTGTACAGTAATATTTTCTGTCTTTTAATAGATATGTTATATGAGAGACTTGCTTTGTTTACCAAATAAAGTAAATCTAATTGGCTTTGCATTTTAAACATTAAATAAAAGTTAGGTTTTAGTTATGATACTCCCAAAATAATCCCTCAGAAATCCGCAGGTTTTTACCAAAATTCTCAGCAGAAATAGCAAAAAAGGTTCGCAGATTCTGTCTGGCCCTGGTTATAGGTGTATTTTGAGATTAAAGCAATCAGAATCTCATCTCCCATTCCCTTTAAGATTCAGTTGCATCACGCCATTGCTCATTTGCTAATTACATGGCGGACTTTGTGAATGGAAAAACTGTACACTTCTCTAGCGAGAAAACAGTTAAACATCTACATCACGAGAATTAGAGATTGAGCCTCCTCATTTTTTACTTTCACTTTCACTCTCTTTCGTGGATAAGGAAATGTGTTGTACTCATTAGCCTCCATAATTAATTTTGTTTGTTAAGCGCAAAGATTTGTTTCAAAACTATTTCTAAATTCAGTTCTAATTACCTACAAAAGAATAAATGAACAATAATAACGAAGTGTGGAAGTGACAGGTGGGCAAATCTAAGCTTGTTTTTAATAAAACAAATATAAATATGGATATAATAAATAATACTGCTAATAATAATTAAATTATACAAAAGCAAATTGTCATGAACAAACTGAAAAAGCCCCCCAAGATGAAGAAGGCATGGAGGCAGTGGTTTTTATATTTATGTAGAAAATAATAGTTTTTTTAAATATTTTAATCTCGCTGGTCTATTGTGCAGTCTATTTTATTTCCTAAAAACAGCAATGCGGCTTAACACACCTCCTTTTTAGACCAAAACGCCTATGGGCGCACATATGAGCGAAAATGCTTTTGCTATTTAAACAGCGTGGCGCAAAACGTCAAAACGACTCTTGCGCCGAGCTGAAGCTAGTAAACAACAATTGCGCCGCATTGCGCCGGGTGTGTGATAGGGCCCCTGATGTTGCTTTAATATCACGGCTATCAGCCAATCAGATTCGAGACCCAGCCAAAACTTGTATAAATATTTTTAACCTATACATATGTATGAATATAAATATTTATACTGGTGTAATTTGTTGAAAATGCCAGTTTAAAACAAAACAATGTAAACTATTTTACTACCATATTTTCTGAAAAATAAGTCCCACTATATAAGATTGTTGACAGAAAAAAATATATGTTGCAATCGTGTATAAGTGGTATTTACTTAAAAAATAATATAATATAGGCTACTATGGGTAATATAGGATGCTATAGATATCCTTATTACAAAAAATATTTTAATTATCCGTTACTATTAGCAAAATAATAATTTATCCTAAACTAATTCATTCATTCATTCATTCAACTGGAGCACCCAGAGGAAATGAACATGGGGAAAACATGCAAGCTCCACACAGATACGCCAACTGACCCAGCCAAGGCTCGAACCAGCAACCTTCTTGCTGTAAGGCAAACGTGCTACCCCCTGGGCCACCATGATTATTCATTCATTCATTTTCTTGCCGGCTTAGTCCCTTTATTAATCCGGGGTCGCCACAGCGGAGTGAACCGCCAACTTATCCAGCAAGTTTTTACGCAGCGGATGCCCTCCCAGCCGCAACCCATCTCTGGGAAACATCCACACACATATTCACACACACACTCATACACTACGAACAATTTAGCCAACCCATTTCACCTGTACCGCATGTCTTTGGACTGTGGGGGAAACCTGAGCACCCGGAGGAAACCAACGCGAATGCAGGGAGAACATGCAAACTCCACACAGAAACGCCAACTGAGCTAAGGCTCGAACCAGCGACCTTGCTGTGAGGCGCCAGCACTACCTACTGCACCACTGCTTCGCCGGCACCATGATTATTTAGCATATATTATTTGACATATATATAAGCCATTTAAAATTTAAATTGCTGCATGTTTGAGGTGATTATTATATAATATTACATAGAAACATAAACACACACACACATTCACACTTTGTGTAATATTTCATATGCTTTACCTTACAGGGTTACATTAAAATCCTCACAAGCAATGAAATATAGGATTTTGCATTCATTATTATAGTCCTCTACTAAGAAGAAGTGTCTTCTGAAATCCAGGAAACTCAGTACGCCAAGTGGAAAGCTGCCTGTATTTTGGCATCCAAAGGCAAGACGATGGCCTACAGCTCGTACCGCACCGAGGTGAAGAACATCCAGTCGTTCCTGCAGATGAAGAGTCTCGCTCCTCCTCCCGGTCAAGCGGCACCTGATGTAGAGTCCATGGAGATGAACCCCGAGTGCTTTGTTTCTCCGCGATATGCTAAGAAGTTCAAGACCAAACAGGTCAGATCACAATCTCAGGACCGGATATAACTCGTCTTCATTACGACATCAGATTATTGTTTGATTTATTTTTGTGTTTAGTTATTTTTCCATTAGGGCTGCACGATATTGAAAAAAAAGGGGATTGTGATATTTTTTTTTCAGTAATAAATATTGTGATATAAATAAAATTACACCAGATGGCTTAAAAAGCTCCATCTGGAAAGAAAATTTCATATTTAGACTGATTGGGGGGATTTTGTATGGGTGTGAATCATGCATGCCTGTCAACATTGGCATGTGAAAATAAGAAAATAATTCCCCCCAAAATTGCTAAATATGTTCACCTGGAGCTGTTTGTAAATAAACAGTTGAAACGGACGGTAACATGTTTTATTATTATTATTATTATTATTATTCATTTATTCATTCATTTTCTTGTCGGCTAAGTCCCTTTATTAATCCGGGGTCGCCACAGCGGAATGAACCGCCAACTTATCCAGCAAGTTTTTACGCAGCGGATGCCCTTCCAGCCACAACTCATCTCTGGAAAAATTATTATTATTATTATTATTATTATTTACAAAGGCTAGAATAAATAGTATACATTAGAAAAAGCTGCAAATAAATTAGCAAACAGTTTAGCCTATTGAAATGATTAGCTATTATAAAGACACTGAATCATGTTATTAAATCTCATCAACTTTTTCTTCACTGTATATTTCGATTTTTCGTTTGATTACGACAAATATCAGAGGCGTCACTTCAAAAATGCACAGATCTATAATAAAAGCATTCAATCTGTAATTCAAAAGCATACCAGATGGCTTAAATAGCTCTATTTGGAAAGAAAAATTTGTATTTAGATTGATTGGGGGAATTTTGTAGGGATGTAAGTCATGCATGCCTGTCAACATTGGGATGTAAAAATAAGGAAAAAAATTATCTCAGAAATTTCCAAACATGTTCACTTGGAGCTGTTTCATTGTAAATAAACAGTTTAAACGGTCAGTAATATGTTTTATTACTATTATTATTATTATTTTTATTATTATTTACAAGGGATAGAATAAATAGTATACATTTGAAAAAGCTGCAAATAAATTAGCAAACAGGTTAGCCTATTCAAATGGATATCCATTATAAAGACACCGGATCATGTTATCAAATCTCATCAACCTTTTCTTTACTGTGTAATTAATTAAAGAGCAGCAAATGAATTTCTTATTTGGATATTTTTATTTGTTTAAAATAAATAACAGAGACGTCACTTTAAAATGCACAGATCTATAATGAAAGCATTCGATTGCTTTCCTAACTGTTTATGCTCATTTTAGACATAATTAGTTGTATTTAAAAGAAAACCCACTATGATTGACATGTTTAGATGTTGTTATTATTATTATTATTATGTTTGTATGTCTGTTTAAATGCGCAGCCAAAATCCAGATTGTCCACTTTCGCTCCACTTCAAAACGTATGTAATCAAACAGCGTCTATTTATGACTATGAAGCAGGTCTGACAGTCATGCACCGCTACATAGATTTGACTGTTTTAAAGATTGCAATGGAGGGGCAACGGCGCATGTAATGGAAAGGAAGGGAGTCCCTCTGTTTATATATTTATTTGAAAGGGTTTTCATGCCTAAATAAAATAAAGGTATAGAACTGATACACATTTAAGAGCAGGGGGCGTCCCCTGGTGGTTCGGCAGCATTGTTTGCATACAGGGAAGATTCGCCCTTTAATGTTTATTGCCAGCCTACATAATAAGATTAAAAATACAGGAGAAATTCAGGAAAATACTTTTACAGGATGATGGCAGTATAGAATTGTAAAAGTCCTGGGAAAAACGGTATGGAATCGTGTCTAAAAAATAATAAACAAGTTGCAAGCAAGAATAATTACAAGAGAGCATAGAATAAAGTCAAATAAATAGTGCTTTTCGGTTTTGCGGAGGGTCAAACCCATATTCAGGTACAGAAATTTAACAATGAAGTGTCAAATAACACTGTATAGTCTTCATTGCATTATTAATTCAATATAATTAGTACATTTATGTGCCTGAATGCTTTAAATTCTTCTGAAATGCCTTTAAAGTGCATGCAAATGATAAAGATTCTCTCTGTTATGGTTATACTTTGCAATGACTCCACAAAGTCTCATGTATTTTCAACTGTTGTGCTGATCAACTATAATCCCCCAACATAATGTGATTATTGCGGACAATGCTGAAATGAAATATTGTGCAGCCCTAGTTTTTACATCCACCAGTTTTAATGCACAGGGTTAAACACAATATTCGTTCTTCTCGTTACAGCTGACCACACGAATCTTGGAGGCCCATCACAATATTTCCCAGCTTTCCCTTATGGAGGCTAAAATGCGTTTCATTCAAGCATGGCAGTCTCTGCCCGATTTTGGCATCAAGTACTATATTGTCAGGTAATTTTGCTGAATTGTTTAATTGCTATTGAATATGTAAAGCATTTATAGTTCAAATCAATGGGCTATATGCACAGCAAGTGTTAACCTCCGCTGAGAGGTTAATGTGACTATTTTAATATAATAACATTTCTTTTACAGTAATGTAATATAAATACAAAAGACTTACCGTACACTCACACCGAAAGCGGCGAGAGCGTCCAAGGTCGCTCTGGCCGCCCTGGCGACAACGCTCTCTGCCTTCAGCTCCTGCGGCGAGAGCGTCAAAACTCACTACATTGATCTCGTACTTAAAGGAGCCGTTGCAGCATATCAGTTACATTCCTGCATAAGACATGTTTTTAGCGTGAAAATGTTGCGCACTTCTTATCAAATTCATACAACAATGGAAGATCAAGTTGCATGTGGTGTGGCTTTGCTCTATTTATCCAATATGTGTCCATATGTCTGAAATATCCTGAAGCAGCAGTACTGTTTTGTACTGTCACATCGCGTGAAATTCCCGCTTTTTAAAGATTAATTTATATAACATTAATGAACATCAGTAACTCGCCAGTAACTTATTTAATGCATGTTCCTGTAAGAAAACATTGTAAATAATGGGAAATCCGGCGACCGCAATAATCAAACCCTTGGTAACAACTGTGGTCGGTACCAAAGTTCACAGGTCTGTGTTCCCTGAACTGCTATCAAGCGGTGGACGTCTTCATTCTGATTGCTTGCCGCCGAACCGCGTCATAGCTCATTACCGTAAAATTGACTTAATTTCAACTCTCCTCGACGCTCACGCCGGCGAAGACGCGCCACGCTGCTCCTCGCCGCTTATCGACGCCTATCGCCGCCGGCTCTCATTGAAAATTAATGACTTCCGGCTACTTTGACGCTCTCGCCGCTTTCGGTGTGAACATACGGTTAAGCAGTCATTTAGTTGTTCAAGCGTAATACAAGACAAAAATATTTCCTATAATATTTTTTCTTCTGGGGAAAGTCTTATTTGTTTTATTTCGACTAGAATAAAAGCAGTTTTAATTTCTTTTTTTACAAACATTTTAAGGTCAATATTATTAGTCCCCTTATATACAGTTGAAGTCAGAATCATTAGCCCCCTTTTGATTTTTCTTTTCTTTTTTAAATATTTCCCAAATGATTTTTACAGAGCAAGGAAATTTTCACAGTATGTTTGATAATATTTTTTCTTCTGGAGAAAGTCTTATTTGTTTTATTTCGGCTAGAATAAAAGCAATAATTACCCGTCTTTCGGATGACTGTCTTTTGGATGTGACATTAAACCGAGATCCCGACTCTCTGTGGTCGTTAAAAATCTCAGGATGTCCTTCGAAAAGAAGAGGGGTTTAACCCCGGCACCCTGGCCAAATCTGCCCACTAGCCTTTGTCCATCATGACCTCCCAACCATCCCCATATTCCAATTGGCTTCATCGCTGTCTCCTCTCCACCAATCAGCTGGTGTGGGGTGTGCGGTCTGGCGAAAAATGGCTGCCGTCGCATCATCCAGGTGGATGCTGCACACTGGTGGTGGATGAGGAGATCCCCCCATTGTGTGTAAAGCGCTTTGAGTGCCCAGAAAAGCGCTATATAAATGTAAGGAATTATTATTATTATTATTATTATTATTAATTTTTTTAAAACATTTTTGGGACAAAATTATTAGCCCCTTTAAGCAAATTTTTTTTTTCGATAATCTACAGAACAAACCATCGTTATACAATAACTGGACTAATTACTCTAACCTGCCTAGTTCACCTTATTAAACTAGTTAAGCCTTTTGTGCTGAAACAATCTTCCCAGAACAGAACAGAAATTGGGGAAAAAAATAAACAGGGGCGCTAATAATTCAGGGGCGCTAATAATTCAGGGGGGCTAATAATTCTGACTTCAACTGTATGTATGTATGTATGTATGTATGTATGTATGTATGTATATATATATATATATATATATATATATATATATATATATATATATATATATATATATATATATATATATTATTTTTATTTATTTATTTTTTTGATTGCTTACAGAACAAACAATCGTTATACAATGACTTGCCTAATTACCCTAACTTGCCTAGTTAACCTTTAAGTCTTTAAATGTCACTTTAAGCTGAATACTAGTATCTTGAAAAAAATATTATGTACCATCATCATGGCAAAGACAAAAGAAATTAGTTAAAACTATAATGTTTAGAAATCTGTTAAACAGAAATTGTGGACAAATATACAGGGGGGTTTATAATTCAGGAGGGCTATGTCCCTTCAGTAATGAAGTGCGATTAAAATGTGTGTTTTGTGTGGCACAGATTCAGAGGAAGCAAGAAAGATGAGCTGTTAGGCATCTCCTACAACAGGTTGATCCGCATCGACATGTCCACTGGTCTACCGGTGACCACCTGGAGGTTCTCCAACATGAAACAGTGGAACGTCAACTGGGAGATTCGACAGGTCTGTCAAGTGCTGCAAACTAGTGCTGTCTTAATACTGCCAGAAATAAGGGCGTAACTTTAGGTGTTGACATAGAATTGAAGCAGATTTAGGTGAAAATACAAACAATTCAAACATACAAATGAAACAAAATTAAAAAAATCTAAAAAAATTACTTTCAGAGGTCGCGTTAGACTTTGTCATTGTCTTTCATTTTGCCGGAGAGGGTTCGTCATAACCTATTATTGACAGTCAATTCATTTGCATATTTTCTAATCGCTTTTTTCATTCATATTTTAACAATGAACTTGCACGACGAGCGTATAGATTATTCATTTATTTATTTGACAAATGAACAATAACTCATATCAGCCTTACCTCATATCTTCCTCCTGCGTCAACCTGAACTGGGTGCTTGCCTGTGCGTAATCAAACGCATCAAGAGAAACTGATGCAGAGGCGGTTTTCATTAAATTCTGTGTCTTTGCCTCAAAAAGTCGACTTCTCGTGACAGTTTTAAATTTGTTCTGGAGGCTGAAGCCGCGTTCTGCTGCCACTCTGGAGAGTCATTGCCAGAGGCAGCTCGGACTCTTCAGACAGACTCGGGCCAGATATGGTTAACAGGAATCGGGCCAGTGCTTTACACTCACATTACAAACCCATGTACGGGAGCGAGCTGTGGGCCATACTCGGCCCGGATATAACACTCGCCGATGCCGAATCGGAGCCAGAGGCGCTGTAGGGCAGCCAAGCTCGGGCCAATTACTACCTGCTATCTGGTTGGCGCCACTTCAGCCAGCGTTATGTAGATAGGAAACATTTCTCCTAGGGAAGTGATCAGAAGTTTGCTGGATTTTCTGAATGTGGGATTTCCCAGTCTTGCAAGCACTTGTTTCACCGGGAAAAATAAAGCAGCACGCGCTCCTTCAGCACCAGGGGCGCGGCTTCACCCCTCTGAGTTTGGTAGTGCATGGTGCTCACAACGCACTCCAAACCACCTGACCTCCTTGTTGCCGCTTGGTTGGCCTGTAACAACAGCTGTCGGCGACTGAGGTTTTTTGTCTGTTTGTTCTTCATCATCCGCTGCATCGCTTCCTCGTTTTTTCACTTTTATTATTAATATCACAACTATTTGGCCAATTAAAGAAGCTTCTCACATTCAGCTGCTGTGAGATTTTTGCAACTGTACCAGAATGAAACTGTAATTAGTTTTTTTTTTGCATATATGGATTTCTTTTAGTTGTTACCAACATCCGGGGGAAATTTCAAGTCAACAACACCTTTATGCTGTTTTAACAGTAGACATGGAACGCACAAGGCACAAATAAATCGTGCTATTCGCACGTAATTAGACGCATGAACATTTTAGGTTTACTCGCTTTATTCGCGCATCAAATTCACTTTAAAATAGATGCGGATTCGAGTCATGGGCAGGGCTTCTGTCTGCCCGGTGACTCTAGTTTCATTGCTAAATGGCTAACATAGATTTTATTGAGAGAATAGCTGTGTTTATGTGCTTTGGGAAGGCTGAAAAACAGCGTAGATTCATTCGGCGCCTTGTCTGAGTCCTTTCAGAGGTGCACCCATCTCTGTAAGCTTATCAACTCCTCCAGAAACTATACCTGGATGATGGAGGCTTTCAGTGGTGCTTCAGACTGAGCCGAGCCCAGTTTGATCAATTATCTAAGAGGATTTCCCCTCGGGACACCAACAAAGACGCTACGTCATAATCACTCCCCTACACGAGCAAGCTCCTAATTGGTTAACACGGTGTCTACGTCTGCTGAAGTTAAGATTTTCCAACTCAAACAGTTTGTGCGTTAAGCACGTCAAATGCTCAAAGCACTCAACTCGCGCCGCCTCAGTCATGTGAAACATGTAGCAGGATGTCTATTCGCATCTTTGCATTGACTTAACATGTAAATTACTCATGCTTGATGCTTCATCCGCGTCTGAGAAAAATGGTGACATGTTAATCGCATTTCCTGCATTTAGAATTTTATTTTCATCTGTCTATACTTTAGAAAATATTACTACAAAACACACTCATACAATGTGTGGCTTCTTCAGATCTGATATTTTGTTGTTGCTGTTGTTTTCATTGCAGGTGACCATTGAGTTTGACCAGAGTGTGTCGATTGCGTTTTCCTGCCAGAGCTGCGACTGTAAGGTGGTTCACGAGTATATCGGAGGATACATTTTCCTCTCGACGCGCTCAAAAGACCAGAATGAAACTCTAGATGAAGAACTCTTCCACAAACTCACAGGAGGACAAGACTGACCTCAGATCAGCATGACCATTTAATATAGTGTTTTTCTTCATCTTTGCCTAAGTCCTTTTGTATTTGTAATAAGGCAAGTTAACACAAAAGAGAACATAACTCCATGTTTGCATCTAAAACAATACATTTGTTGTTCTCTCTTGACATTTTTAGAAGTTGTTGTTGGTGTCTTTAATGTACATAATTTACAACAAAAGTATTGATTGATTGGTTGATTGATTGATTGATTGATTGATTGATTGATTGATTGATTGATTGATTGATTGATTGATTGATTGATTGATTGATTGATTGACTGACTGACTGACTGACTGACTGACTGTATGGTCGATTGGATGACTGGTTGGTTGGTTGATTTATTGATTGATTAGTTGTTTAATTGATTAGTTGGTTGGTTGATTGTTGGTTGATTGATTAAATGATTGATCGATTGACTGGTTAGTTGATTGATTGATTGACTGACTGGTTGATTGATTGGTTGATTGATAAATTGATTGATTGATTGATTGATTAATTGACTGGTTGGTTAGTTGATTGATTGATTTGATTGATTGAGTGACTTAGTAACAGTGTGTGGTTGGTTGGTTGGTTGTTTGATTGATTGATTGATTGATTGATTGATTGATTGATTGATTGATTGATTGATTGATTGATTGATTGATTGATTGATTGATTGATTGATTGATTGATTGATTGATTGATTGATTGATTGATTGATTGGCTGGCTGGCTGGCTGTTTGGTTGGTTGGTTGGTTGGTTGATTGACTGACTGGTTGGTTGATTGACTGACTGGTTGGTTGGTTGATTGATTGACTGACTGGTTGGTTGATTGATTGACTGACTGGTTGATTGAATATAAATGAGTTGCTTGTAGGTTTATTTGAAGTTGTATAGGCCTACAGTACTTTTTATGGTTCAGTTTAAGAAAAAGTTCCTTTTAAAGTTTTTATCTTTATTTTATGTTTATTTTATGCATATTTGTTTTCATTATGTGGATTAGAAAATCTGAAAAATGCCCTAAATAAATCCAAGGTCCAAATGCTTCAAGACTTGTTAGGCTATTTATTTAAAAACATTTCCACATGTAAATCCATCGTTTGTCTTTTTTTTTTAAATCAATCATACACAATAACTTCTGTAACACGACTGTGTCTTCTGTTGATGTTAGTTGATGCAAATGTTTACTAATAATTATTGTAAAATGTTACCTATTGTACATTATTATGCTTCTCCAATTTAATTAGTTACTTTAGTTACTTTTTACATACACAAACATTAAACGTTCTTGAAAAGTTTTTTCTGTTATACCAGTAAAAGTACCCCTTTTTTAAAGCTTTTATCAGTGTCAGGATAATATTGTTTATCATGATAAAAGCTTCAGATATTATTGCAACAAGAAAATCTAACACCGTCACTCATATGCCTAATACACAAAACACATGCATTATTATATTACGCAAATATTAATATTTTAGTAACGTATCAAAATCATGTTTTGGACTTCAAAGTCTGCATAAACCGGAAGCTGCGACTGTTTGTTTTTTGTTTAGTTTTTTTCGAATTGTGACACAGTTACTAAAGAAGCAGACTATTTAATGAGAAAGCAGTGGGCATGGCTTGTTTTTTTCTACTGCGGGTTGATTGGATGTAGTAGCCATTTCTTTTTGAAAGATCAAGAAAAGGGTTTCAGGTTAGTTATTACCTAACAGACTCCTCTTGTTGTTGGCTGCCTCCGAAACTGCCTACTACTCAGTAGGTACCTGATTTGACATTGAATTTACTACTCGGCCGTTAGAAAAGTACGCTCTATACAGTATGAATGTGAGTAGTATGAATGGAACTCGGACGTACTACATCCGCAGTAGTAGGTCATTCGGGTACTTCTCACATACTGTTTTTCAAATTATATGAATTCGGACATACTACTAGGCACACATACTGTTTTTTGGTGGATGGAAGTATGTGATTTCGGATGCAGCTGTTGTCATAGCACTGTCGAAGCTGACAGTCAGAAAGGCATGGTTAAGTAAAGCCACGCCCAATACCTCAGACAGATGTAATCAGAGAATTTATGGGTTCTTTCACATCTGCCTTATTTATTTCTGTTGAATCGCACTAGAGTTTGTTTTCCCACTTGGTGCGGTTCGTTTGGGCAGGTGTGAATGTAGCAATCATACTCGAGTGCGCACCAAGAGCGGACCCAAAAAAATTTATCGAGACTTGCTTGAAGAGGTGGTCTCGGTATGCTTTCAAACCAATCCTGGAGCGGTTCGTTTGTTGTGAGAATATGATCCGAACTAAAACAGACCCAAACGCAATTGCGCCTTTTTGGGCTAATCCAGCTGCCGTATGCCGATGCGCTGTGCATTATGGGATGTTGAGGAAAAACATTTGTTGACAGCGCTTTACCAACAATTTTAAACAGAGAGAGGGAAAAACATTACCTGATGGATCGATGGTAATATTTCCCAAAGATGACCATGTTGCAGTTTAGCTAAATTAATTCACGTCTCCTCCTGAAGTTACGTATAATGCACCTTCGCCGTTTGCTATGCATTAAAACATTGTTTTCCAGTACCAGCCACGCTTCATTCTTGAGTGTATAGATTGTCTAAAGTGATGTAAACAAACTATATAGTATACTATGAGCAGGGATACAATCAGCCAGCGCAGTCGTCTCTCCATAGTAAAAATCGTCATTTTGTATCTGCCGGTTTGTTTACTTGCGGGAGTTCCATTAACATTTTCCTGCACGTAAATTCTGACCAATCGAAAAGCAGTTTAGGAAATACGTTCAATAACATCTGGCCAATGAGTAAGGTGTATTTTGTCAGATGACTGCATTTTGGTTCTTTTCAACAGGTTCTGACCAAAGCAATCAGTGTGGTGTGAAAAGGACGCAAGGATGACAGGAAATGCTACAGTGTATTATTTGTTGCCCTTGGTCCGGACCAAATGAAGCGAACTACAGATGTGAAAGCACCCTTAACTGAAAATAAACAGGAAGTGCATTTTCAGATTTCAATTTAAGATTAGGCGATGCAGTGGCGCAGTAGTGCTGTCGCCTCACAGCAAGAAGGTCGCTGGTTCGAACCTCGGCTCAGTTGGCGTTTCAGTGTGGAGTTTGCATGTTCTCCCTGCGTTCGTGTGGGTTTCCTCCGGGTGCTCCGGTTTCCCCCACAGTCCAAAGATGTGGTACAGGTGAATTGGGTACTCTAAATTGTCCGCGGTGTATGAGAGTGTGTGTGTGTGTGTGTGTGTGTGTGTGTGTGTGTGTGTGTGTGTGTGTGTGTGTGTGTGTACGAATGTTTCCCAGAGATGGGTGGCGGCTGGAAGGGCTGAGCAAAAACGTGCTGGATAAAGGCTGATTTATACTTCTGCGTCAAACACCGGCGTATGCTACGGCGCTGACGTTACTGACGTGCACCTCTCAAAAAATGTAACTACACGTCGCAACGACGCGTAGCGCAAGCTCTGTGATTGGTCGGCTTAGTAGCACTGACGAGTCTGGGCGGGACCGAGAGCCGCGCGAATGGCGCGACGCCGCGCAAGTGATTGTTTACAAGTGTGAAGTACCGTGAAGGAGCTCCGGATGGAAGGTCTTGTTTTGTGTTTACCTCATAGTTAAAGTTGTTGCACGTCCGCCGGTTCCTGCCTCAAAATGAGCGAGTTTGAGCCACTTGTACATCCCGGAAGTGTTCAGGAAAAGCAAAAAAGTAGCGAAGAAACTCGACACAGAGGAACATTAACACCTCACTGCCAACTAGCGTTTCGGAAGTGTTAATGCAGACCGACAGAGACAGCGCGCAGAAGTATAAATGCACAGCTACGCACGTTGCATGCGCCGTGGGTTAGGCCGGTGACCTGACGCAGAAGTATAAATCAGGCTTAAGTTGGCGGTTCATTCCGCTGTGGCCAAGAAAATAAATGAATGAATTTAAGTTTACACGGCCAAACATTTTATATTTCTTAATGACACAGTATGTTTAGCTCGTTTTCATGTGTACTTTAAGTTTGGGCAAACTCTTACTACAGATATTATATGATACGATGATGAAATTATTTAGAACATGCTGGTCTTTTTTATATTTATTTAATCTTTGTATAAAGCTAAGATGCATTCACTTCAATAAATATGAGATTTATTTTTTTATCTGTGACTCAACCAGTCAGCCTGTCATCAGTTCTCTAAATCTATGCTCGATTAGTCGGCCTCTCCAAACAGGAAGTGACCGAACACACGTGCGGTCGGAAAGCAGGAGCATCGCTTGAATGAGCCAATGTTTGGTGTGTAATCATTGATATTACGACTTTACTTTTGGGTTTGTTAAAGTATATTTCTACGCATCTTCCGGACGGTCTCAATCCAATAAATGGCGGAGTGTGTGAATGACAGCGATGAAGACAGCAGAATCGCATACGGAGACTATGTAGTGCTGAAGAGAGGAGAAGTCTTTAAATCTGTCCAGGTGGAGAATAAAAAGTGAGTTGAATAACTAAATATTGTTTTATTAAATGCCATTTTATAATGCGTATTTTGCACTGGAAAGCCTGAGGTTTAGTATACAGTGGTATCTAAAATCGGACAGCACATTACACTGGGGTAAAGTTGGTTTTATTTTCGAACATTCGGACTTCTTAATAATATAAGTTCAGAAAAGTATTGTTTGCAAATTGTAAATATGGAAATCTTATTAGCAGCCAATGACTATCAAAATACAGCATTATCACGGGCAATTAAATAATGCTAATAGTCATACTTGCATGTGATTTCAGACCGAATATTCTGAGTACCATGGTAAACATTGCAGGGCTTGTTACCTAAAATGAAAGAAGTACACTTTAAAACATTTAACGACATGTATCCATGCAATGGGTTTCTTAGAATACGATTTAAAGTAAACAGTAATGTTTGTTGTAATGTAATGCAGTTTTCTGCTTGAAAGATTTTGAATCTTAGGAATATCTACTTTAAAGGTGTACTATTGTCAAAATTATTGGGACAGATTATGTGGAGTGGTTGATAACAAAAAGTGTAATACCTGCTTTTGATTTGATTTATTTATTTTCGAACAAAAACATACATAAAATATCATAAAGGAAAAATAAATTTCAACATGGTCAAAAATTGAGTGGGATAAAGCACAAGCTTATTATTTTCCCCACCCCATTACCACATACATCATTCATCCATTACTTAAACTTATTTCTTCTTATACTCATCTCTTCTTTTTCATTAAACATATTTTATCTTTTTGGTATTTTTGACATATTATATGTTTGATTTCAATTGTACCTTTACATTTTGTAACAAAGACCCAGAAGGAAAATAAAACAAAACACAGTACTGCAAATAACCATTAATTAAAATTAATCATACCTTTCTCGTTTTCTCATTTTTCAATCACCTTCATCATTATATTCCTTTAATAATACATATTTATACTACTTTTTAAACTGATTATTATCCTGACATTGTTTGAGACTCTGATCTAGGCTGTTCCATAGTTTGGAATGCCTGTTTGTTTTTAGAAGGTTAAATAAAAATGTAAGGAGCATGTCACAATTCATCACTGAAATTTTTATTAATATTTTATTGTATATTTTTATTTTTACATATTGTAATCTTTGTAAAATACTTAACGACAATTTATTAAAACAAAAACAACAAAAAAAGTCACTGAACGAATATGCAAATATATAACAAACTGTACCTCAACACAGGGTTTCTGTGGGTCTTTAAATTACTTGACTCCTCTATTTAGGCCTTTAAAAAGTTTTAAATAAGAATAGTTAGTCTTAATTTCGTACATTTATGGTATTAGATGTTGATGTATAAGTATCTTTAGTATTTTTGTTTAGGGGCAGAGTTAATAAAAAAAGGTTTTATATATATATATATATATATATATATATATATATATATATATATATATATATATATAATATATATATATATATATATATATATATATATATATATATATATATATATATATATATATATTTTTTTTTTTTTTTTTTTATGTATGTATGTATTTTTTATTAGTGTTGCCGATACAACTCTTCTGTTCCCTACAAATTTAAATATTAAAACAAACATATTTTGTTCCCGTCAAATTACATTTATTTTTTTCATGTGGTCTGAAAGGGGGTCTTAAAGTCTTTCATTTATCTTGTTTAAAAACTATTTTAAACTTGTATTTGGCTTTCGTTTTATATACATTTTTTTAAGTGTTTCAATGATTTTGGTATTTAAATAATATAATAATATAATGATAATATAGTGTGTGTGTGAATGCATTTATTTTTATTTACATCACATTGAGTATGTCGATGTTCATTTTGAAATTCAGTTTTGCCAATTAATGAATCTTGAAATAAAATCAGTCAACATTTGAAACCTACATTTGGGAGCTTGTGGAGTAAGTGGAGGCATTCTGTGCTTTTTTTATTTCATTATTTAATTAATTGTGATTTAACCTGTAGAATTGTTTTAATATGTATTTTAAATACATTTAGGGAGATTTTTAACATTCTGTCCAGGGACTACAGATAAAAAAATGTTCTGCTACATTTACAGATATGTTTTATTAATGTACAACATCCCTGTCAACTACACAAATAAAATATGCAGATTCTTCATAGCTGCTAGTTTTGTCTTTCACTGATTTGTTTTGTAGTCTTATTCATGATGTTTTATTATTTATGAAATGTTAAATCTAAGAAGCATTATTAATCAAACAATTTAGATGTTAATTAAAATCTGCTCTTTTTCTGTATCATTAATCTGTTAATGGAAAACAAGACAAATACTAAGCGATGGTCAATTTCTTTTCTTTTTTTTCTTTTTTTTCAGCTATTTAAGTGTGTGTGTGTGTGTGTGTGCTCACCTCACTAGCTTTGATTTTGGTATTCTGTGTGTTGTAGGAAAGTGATTTTTGAGAAGCAGTGGTTTTTCATGGACAATGCTGTCGGTCAGCTGTATGGGACCATGTTTGAGATCGTAGCCGGCGGTTCACTGAAACACAAGCCTGTAAAACGTGCTGGAGACTCGTTAGGTATTCAACATATGCATTTGTTTTGTTATTATATATGTTTTAATATTTCATGTTAAGATGAGATTGTGTGTGTTTTTCTCTGTCACAGATTCTAAAGAAGCAGGCCAGGATAACAGGCATATAGTGGATGATGGCAGATCTCAGAAACTCACCAGAGATGATATCGAAACGCTGAAAGAGCAGGGGCTAAAGGGACAGGTATGTACTCCAGTAAAACCTTTACATTAATCCTTGTGTGCTGCTGTTGGGGATTTTTTTCATCCACTCTGGGTTGAATTTGAGGCCACAACGTTTTCTGTGTTTCAGCGAATGGAATGAGTTTCAGTGACATCTTATTTTGACACATATTTTGGAAAATGCTTTGGAATTTTTCAAAAACTCAACACTATACTATGGGCAAATTGACTACTCTTTCGTTATGTTCGGGATTGTTTTTGTCTCATTGACTTCTATTATGATGACTTTTTTTTTATTGCAAAGTCATTACAGCATGTAATCATGCTTTCTTGATTGTGGGTGATTTTTTTTTTTTTACCTGTTTCAATAAGGTAAAATCTGTCATATTTATTGTTAATTATGAGTTGCAGTGCAAAAAAGCTTAGTTTCTGGGTTTTATATGTGGTGTGTGTGTGTGAGAGAGACTTTTGCACATTTATCTTGATCTCTGAGAAAATCAAAATAAGCAGCTGAGCTCACAGAACATAGTAAACGTAGTGAGTGTATTTTTGCACACACACACACACACACACACACACACACACACACACACACACACACCCACACACACACACACACACACACACACACACTATAATCCGCTGTTTTACTCTAAAGAACTCCATATAAAAGCCAGAAACTTTTTAATCTAAAGGGTTAATGGTGCTATCTGATGATCAACAGTAAAAATGACACATTTTACCTCTTCCCAACAGGAAAAACCAGCAACAATCAAGAATGCATGATTATATGCTGTCATGGCTTTCCAATCAAAAGTGTGGTTATGATGGAAGTCAATGGGGCAAAAACATGAATCGTGCTTTTATGGTGTTACACAGATCGCCCCCCAGTGGAGAACCGTAAAATTTTCTAAACGTTTCGAAACCGCAATGACATAACAAAAGGTGCATTCCACTTCATACAGCGATGCGCAGATCAATCGAAATCTTAAAGCGCTGCATTCCGGTTTGAAATTTTGTCCAGATTGACACTGCGCAGACGCCGCGCGACTGTTACATGTATAAATGCTTTCATTATCCAAAATTATCTTAATCATAGTTTAAGACTCAATCAAAACACCTTATTTTGGGTTTTACACTAATATATATCGGAAAGTTTTATATCTATAAATGTAAATAAATGTAAACCTATTTTTAGCATAATCAAACAAGAAAAATTTGCCTAAAGAGGGATGTTTAAACTTCTAGAATTGTGCTTATTGCTTTGTATTTAATAGGCCTGTGTATATTACCCTCTCGTTTCCCAATATTTCTCTCATGCGGTTTTTATATATTTAATTCATAATTCCCTTATTGTTTAAAAATGGACTAGTTTGTAGAGACTATTCTGTTGTATTTGTGGTGTAAATCTTTTGTTGTTACAAATAAACAAATCATGATGACGCCATGTGATCGGTCATCTTGGCTGCCGCATCTATGAGCCCCGAAGTGTCCGGCTTGACGCCTCCGTTTTCAACTCTTTCTAATCTCGTTGATCACCGGCTGCAGCCATGGTTCAAGTTGAACGCACCTATAGTTTAATTTACCCAAACCACGAATTTGATACTAAATATTTATAATTGTTTTGAGGCTTCATAGTGTAGTGGTTTGGAATCAGCCATCACTAGTTTTAGGCAGGGGTTTTTTTTTCTGCAGAATTGGGCTGCTGTTAACCACTTGCAACCAGTTATTTTTCTAATTCTGCAGTTTAAAGCTTTGACATATTTCATCTGTTATATTTATAAGGTTGTGTTAAAAATATTTTACTTCACTACATTTATATTTAACCAATGATAAACTCTACTAGCATGATGCAACTTTGAGTTGCGAAAGACTACATAAACTAGTATACACTTATTTTCAAAGAAGAAACCATGTATGATGCACACAGTAATGCAAAATATGTATTTTATGAATGTGTGGTGGCATATATTTTAGTGTTTTGATATTATTGGGCTAGTTTTGAGTGGTCATTAGTTAACTTGTGAAAATCTGGCCACCCTGCACTTATTACAACTTTGTTTTTTTGTCCTCTTAAAATGTTGGCTACTGCATGTCAATCAACTGACTTTAATGCAAATTGTGCTTGTAACTGAATCGTTTACTAGTCAAGGATTGTTGGTTAGAGGAAAAGAAAACACTGTCATTTGTGCTTTTCTAAAAATGTTTTTAGGTGTTTTTGATGTGTTTAGTGGGTTATTTAACTGCCATTTTTGTTTCAGGAAATTGTTCAGCAGCTTATAGACAACAGCACAACATTCAAGGACAAAACTGAGTTTGCTCAGGAGAAATACATCAAGAAGAAAAAGAAAAAGTGTGTTCAAACATTTGTATTTCATATCTTAATAATCTCTTGTACAATATAAACCATAATAATGGTTTTGGCTTTATGTTTTCAGGTACGAAAGTGATATAACGGTCTTAAAACCCTCCACTCGTCTTCTGGCGATGATGTACCACGGCAGAGAGCCTGGAAAAATATGGTAGGCGATCTAGAAAACATGAAATTGTTATCATTTACTCATCATTGACTTATTTTATTTTTTTGATTTCGGGAAGTTTTCTAAAATGACCTCCCAGTAACCACTTATCTAAAAATGAAATGGGGCCTGACATGGTTGACAGCTCTTATGTACTATCACCGTTTTAGCTGGCCTGTTTGTAACGCTGTATAAGATGTCCTTCAGAACATTTGACTGTGTTAAATATTTCTGCTTCCTCTAGTCATCTGCGATACGACACGTTGGCTCAGATGTTGACTCTGGGTAACATCCACGCCGGCAGTAAAATCATAGTGTTTGAGACGTGTGCTGGACTGGTGTTGGGCTCAGTCATGGAGAGAATGGGAGGTAATAACATCAGTTTTACCTTTCTGCAATGTTAAATCTACAGAATGCATTTATAATCCTTTCTAAATGTTGAATAAACCTTTGAGAAAGGGTTAGGGCACTCGTTTGATCAATAGAGATTAGGCATGGGCGACATGGTGGCTCAGTGTTAAGCACTGTCGCCTCAGCAAGAAGGTCGCTGGGTCGTGTCCCAGCTTGGTCAGTTGGCAGTTCTCTGTGGAGTTTGCATGTTCTCCCTGTGTTGGCATGGGTTTCCTGTGGTGCTCCGGTTTCCCCACAGTCCAAAGACGTGCTATAGGTGAATTGAATAAACTAAATTGGTCATAGTGCTGGATAAGTTGGCGATTCATTCCGCTGTGGCCACCCCTGATAAATAAAGTGACTAAACCAAAGGAAAGTGAACGAATTAAGATTGGTCATGTGTTTATTATTATTATTATTATTATTAAATGATTAAATCTTCTGGTGCGAGGCAGTGGCGCAGTAGGTAGTGCTGTCGCCTCACAGCAAGAAGGTCGCTGGTTCGAACCTCGGCTCAGTTGATGTTTCTGTGTGGAGTTTGCATGTTCTCCCTGCGTTCGCATGGTTTTCCTCCGGGTGCTCCGGTTTCCCCCACAGTCCAAAGACATGCGGCACAGGCGAATTGGGTTGGCTAAATTGTCCGTAGTTCTTGAGTGTGTGTGTGAATGAGTGTGTGGATGTTTCCTAGAGATGAGTTGCGGCTGGAAGTGCAGCCGCTGCGTAAAAACTTCCTGGATAAGTTGGCGGTTCATTCCGCTGTGGCGACCCCGGATTAATAAAGGGACTAAGCCGACAAAAAAATGAATGAATGAATGAATTAAATCTTCTTAAGAAACTCTAAAAATACTGAAGCATTCTTGAAATTTTTTTAAATGTGTGTGTTTTTAATTGTTTTTTTTTTCTATTTAATTAAAATGTCATTTTTTTTTGTTTTTTTTTGTACAGCATGTGACTGAGAAATGCAAACGTAATCTTAAACAAATTCATGCTCATGGTTGTTGCTAGGCCTATTTTAGGGGGGCTGTAGCCTATAAAGCATATTTTATACTTTTTTTTCCCATTTTCTTTTAGAAGTTTTGTCACAACAACAGTGCATAACAAAAAAAACAACAAAAAAAAAAAACCTACAAATGAATATGAATATATTTATATATATTTATTTATTTATTTATTTATTTATATAATACTAATAAAAAAATGCCAGGCTATTACAAATGATGGTAATTCCCAAGATTTAAAACGCCAAGGAGAAAGATAAAGACAACAAAAGTGGGATTGACAGCAAATCACAGCTTCACAAATATGTCCATATGTCCAAGCATATTTTATACATTAGGCATATTTTCGATTCGCAGTTTGATTTGTGTGTAATTTAAAGGCTAATGTAATTGCACCGTATGTGTTTGTCAGGCTTTGGTTCGGTGATTCAGATGTTTCCCGGCGGAGGACCGACGAGAGCTGGCATGGAGAGCTTCGGCTTCCCCTCACACTTCCACCAGACGCTGCACGAGTTTCCTTTATGCAAAGTGAACGCTGTGCTGGCGGGAAAGCTGGACCTGTCGGAGAAAGACACCGAAAACAGTCGATCTGAGGAAACAGCAGCTGAGAAAAACTCTGAGGCTCAGAGTATGGAGATTAGCCTCGACCCACAAGAACAGATGAGGATAGCTGAGAGAGACAGACTCCGAGAACTCAGGGTGAGAGATTTTTACCAATACTATTATTATTATTAATATTTATTTATTTATTTAAAGTACATAACATTAAGCATTCATTCTTGTTCAATAAATAATTGAATTCTTATTAAGAGACTTTGAAACAACATTGAATATTTTTTGGAAATGTTATTTTTCTGTGGCTGTCTACAAACTGTCTACATTTCTTTATTTGTCTGTATTTTTTAAAATGTGGCTTTTTATTTTATTTTATTTTGTAAACATGACAAGCAATGACTCCATGAGCTGAAGGTGAGACAGAGGAGGTGCCTCTAGTTTAGATATAGCATGAGAAGCTGAGTGTTTGGTATTATTATCAATATTATTAAGCAAATAACTTTCTTATTTTTATTATTAAATAAATAAATAGATTTTATTATTAAGAGACTTTAACAACATTGAAACTTTCTTTAAAAATAGATTTTTATGTGGCGTTGACACCTATATTATGAAACATGACAAGCAATGACTCCCGAGAACTGAGGGTGAGCGAATTCAGATATGGCATCATGAGTTTTTTTGTGTTTAATAATAAGAATAATTATTACTTTTATTATTAAGCAAATGTCTTTCTTGTTTTTTATTATTATTATTATTAAATCAAACTTTAACTTTCTTGATAACTTTCTTTTTCTGTGAGAGATGAGAGAATTCAGATATGGTGTCATGAATTTTACGAGTTTATTAATTATTATTATGATATTGTTTTTATTATTATTAAATAAATAAACATTTTAAACTTAAACGACATTTTTTTAGAAAACTTTTTTCTGCAGTCTACATTTTTTATGTGGCTTTTATTTAATTTCAATTTTTTTATTTTTCCCCAGAGCAAACTTTCCATTTTTAAAATGTGAATTAAGCAGTAGTTATATTTAATTTCATAACTTAGATTAATATCCACAATTAATTATTGTTTCAATATTGCAAATATTAACTTTCAAATTTAAAACGTATGATTTAAAACAACATTTTAAAGTATACGTCTAATTTAAATGATGGTAAATATTATTTAATCGTGATCATTATTATGATTATGCAAAATGTTGTCCTTTTTAAATAATAAGATACTACATACATCTTTTTTTTTTTTTTTTTTTTTTTCAAAACGGCTTAACCAAAAGCAAATATAGAGATGTTTTCAAATAACAACAATTTTTTAAAGGTGTATTATAATTGGTAAAGTCTTTAAACTTAGAATCATTACAAAATGATTTCCTATTTGGAATACTTTTGTCACATGTTAAATAATCAAGACAAAAGGATCCAAATGCAAGTTAGAGTTTACTAATGTCATAAAGGTGAACACAAGGAAATAGAGCGAGTAGCGTGGGGGAAGATTTAGACCAGGGCTATTCAATTAGTTTGTCATGGGGGCCGGTTCATGAAACGCATTCCAAATATATTGTATTTTAAAACAACTGCATTGTCCAATTAACTTTTTTTTGTTTACAAACATTCAAAATGTTGTATTTCGAACAGCAAAAGCAGTGCATTGCTGCAGTCTTTTAAGAGTTTTAAGTCTAACTCATGCTCTTAACTTTCAGGCTCAAGAGAAGAAAGTGAAGATGGAGGAGAAGAGGAAGAAGCTGGCGTCAGCTGCTGCTCTGCTGCAGGACAGAAATGCAGATGGGTACGCTTTATATTCTCTTCTCGTTTAGTTGCAAGAAAATTTTAACATATTAATAGACATTTACTGTTGAAGTCAGAATTATTAGTCCCCCTTAATTATTAGCTTCCCTGTACTTTTTTCCCCAATTTCTGTTTAATGGAGAGAAGAGTCAACACATTTCTATACATAATAGTTTGAATAACTCATTTCTAATAACTCATTTATTTTACCTTTGCCATGATGACAGTAAATAATATTTGACTAGATTTTTTCAAGACACTTTTATACAGCTTAAAGTGACATTGAAAGGCTTAACTAGGTTAAGGTAGTAGTAAAGGTAGTAAAAGGTAGTAAATGAAATTAGCCACAATTAAGGGCATTAAAAAGTATTAAAAAGTAATAACGTCATCTGACGAGGTATTACATTTTTGATACAATTCCAGTTTGTGTTAGGTGCAGACCTTTATTCTAAATTTTGCGTGGATTTATTTATATGTTGAGAGTAGGACCTGAGCGCTGTCATGTGAGGTGGTATTCGCGTGCGCGTGCTGAAACAAACTGGGTACCCGGCTGGCTTGCTGCCAACCATACAGGCGAGCTCGCTTTCGTTCAAGAATTAAATTAAAACATGGGGAAATGTACGTTTTCGGACCTCTGGCTGGAAGACTCAAGATTTAAAGACTGGCCTAGGCCTGTAGCTTGCAACAGCCGCGAGGCTTATAACCACATCTGCAAAAAGACGATTATATTGACACTATATTGGTTCAGCTGTCAATCATTCAAGGCTTTCCGCTGTCAGATGACGGGGTGCTTTTGTGATCAAGGGAAATGCAAACGGCTGAAGAGTGAAAAGTACACAGGTTTGCAAATCCCACCTAAAGTAAGAAACAATGGCACAGATGAAAGCGATTCTGTTTTGAATGTTGATCCGCCAGCCGAGATCATTGAAGTGTTTTTGGAGGAGGTGCCCGAATCTCGATGTGTTGCATTCACTCCATGTTCAACGCAAATGTCTGCTAAATGTAAAATCTAACACTGTACACACCATCGCCAAAGAAGCTCACCTTTACTAATTTTAAACAGCAACTGCGGCTCATGACAAAGAACTGTATTGCGCAGATGGTCATCGCGAGAATCCAGCTCTGCCTGCTCATATATTGGGTCGGCTGATTCACCTGCTTTTTTCACAAACACAGAAAAATGAAGATCAGCTCATAACGAGACTGAGCATTTACAATGACACAACCCAAACCAAAACCTTTAAAGAGTGAAGGAAGTGAGACTTTTCTTACTTTCTTTTGTCATTTTTTCTTGAGGTGTATATTATTTTTTTATTTAATTACTGATCAGTACTTTGCAGCTTTTAGCCTTGAATTGGATTTTTTGTTATATTTTTTAGTTAGATTTGTAGCATAAATATTATTTATTAGATTGACATCCATATAAAAACAATAGTGCATAATAAATATTTCTTACTGCAGTGCTTCATTTTTGTTTGATGCAAACCATAAATTAATTTGTCAAAACGTAACAGTCTGACTTTTTGTAGCACATAACTTGCATTCAAGCACATTCAAGGCAGCATGATCGTGAGCAATGTAATTCATTATTGAGATCATCGTTATCATTAATATTTTGTCATTATAATTATTAGACATTCATTTTAGAATTATTGCACAAATATTAGTAAGTCATCGCAGCATTAGTTAGATAGTTGTTTCTGGGTTTTTTTTTTGTCCTAATTCATTGTTGTTTTCAATTACAGTAAATCCCTTAATATACAATTTGCAGTGGTGCTTATTCATTAATGGTGGGTGTTCCTACTTTGTTTCTGGTGCCCCTAAATATTTGAAGTTGGGAGCACCGGTGCTACCAAGTAAAAAAAAAAAGTTCATTTCGAGCCCTGACACACAGAATCTATCGGCACAGTTCAGCACGGTTGTCTAACTATGCCAAGAATTCCGGGCCGAGAAGGGTTTGTAATCGTGCCGCGCCGCTCCAGGCTCAGTGAAGAAACAACCGTACCGAAATATTCTTAGAAGAGCGACTATTATCATTGATGACATTGATTAAAAACTATGGACAAAGGCCCATTGTGACAGCTTGATTAATTCCTCTGCTTTACTTAAATATATATGTTATCCGCAATATGTTATATCATTTGAAAAGATATTTAATTTATGCCACTACAGTTGCAGCTCGTGCAAGTCGTGTTGGTATTGATTTTTATTTTTTTTTTTTTTGAAGGTATAAAAAAAGGTATTAAATTCAACTTAAGAAGTTCTGTATATACCCTGTTACAAGATGTCAAACAATTCTTGGATGACTCTAGTGTGTGTATATGAAGTTTCTGCTCAAAATACCTGGCTAATAATGTTTTATAACGCTTTTAAACTCTCCCTTTTGGGATTCAGGTTGTGCTTTTTTGATGACTCTTGCTTTAAAATTAAATGAGATTTTTTTTTTTATTCCTCGACATTAAAATAGGAATAGGATGATGACTGCTTTTAAGACATACCACAGTTTGGAAAAGTCATTTCAAAAACATTTTCTGCTATAACGTTCCTAAGTTATCAAAATAAATCTCAAAATAAAAATGATTGTGTTGAATGGGGGTGAGGAAGTTTTTGTGTTTTACCCAGACATTTAAAAATATTATATTTTAGTGCAGTAATCACAACTTTGAAACCGTGATATTTTTATCCACATTTATCGTACTGTCAGACTCTTATACTGGCCCATGCCTACGTTAAAATAGAATCCAAATCCCAGCAGTTTTTAAAGCTCAATGTGACTCAGCGGTGTGGTTTTTCCCCACCCACTGATTTAAATAACATAAATCTTCCTGTATCTTGTTTTGCATGTTTTTATAGCGATTTTTTTTTTTTTTTTTTTTTTTTTTTTTTTTTTTTTTTTTCTCCTAGTTAATGTGGTAAAAGCTGACTGTACTGTTTGTTTCAGGTTGGTTATTGCCAGTCGGTTTCATCCGTGTCCGGTATTAATGGGTCTGCTCAAATTTGTAGCTCCATCACGGCCGTTTGTAGTCTACTGCCAGTACAGAGAGGTAAATCTGACTCCAGTGTTGTGAAGTAATAATATGTATGATGCTTTAGTAATCCTTGTTGCAGAATGCAAACCTTTTTTTTTATTTGGGAGATATACACAATTACAGAAATGTAAATATATAAAGATCCTCCTCATTTTACTTATGCATACAAAATTAAACTGAATATTTCTTTCTATGATTATCGAATATGATTATTCACATATAGATATAGCAGAATATTATGGCTGACATAGAGTTTGAGAGTAACTTTCCCGCTCCAAAAATAGCAAATAAGGGTGTTCTGTAACTTTAAGGAGATTTGCATATTCACTTGAGTCAGGCTTTGAAAACTGCTTCTTTAACTGTTTACTATTTTAATTTGTATGGATGCAGCCGCTGATCGAGTGCTACAATAAGCTCCGGGAACAAGGAGGAGTAATCAATCTCAGACTAACTGATTCCTGGCTCAGGCATTATCAGGTAAGTACTCACTGTAAACTTGTTTTGTTGTTGTTGTTTTAAGTTTCTTTAGACTTTAGTTCAGAGCTCTGTCATGCAAAGCTTCTATAGAAAGTTTTTTTACTGTATAATGCAGAATATCATCATTTTGGATGAATAAATCTAAAGTTGAACCTTACACCTAAACCAGGGGTCTCAAACTCAGATTGGCGGGGAGGGGGGGGGGTCATTTCAGTGACTGACATCTCATAGGAGAGCCGTTTTAAAATTCAAGCACAAGAAAAAAAGGGGAAATCTGACATAATTGATGCATCTTAGGACAACAGACATGAGATTTATATTTCAAGCATTACCTGTCACCAGTGATAATGCAAATCAATTCAATTCATCTTTATTTGTATAGCACTTTTACAATGGAGATTGTGTCAAAGCAGCTTCACATAGAAGATTATAGTGAATTGAAACCGTGTCAGTTTAGTTTTCAGAGTTTAAGTTCAGTTTAGATTAGCTCAGTTCAGTTCAATGTGTCTTAATATTCACTGCTGGGAGTCCAAACACTAAAGAGTAATCCATCGATGCACAGCTCTACAAGTCCCGAACTATGCAAGCCAAGCCAAAAAAACTTCACCAATGGGCGAAAGTGAAGGAAAAAACCTCGGGAGAAACCTGGTTTAGTTAGCACGACTATTTCTCATATGGCAAATGTCTTTTGGAGAGTTGCAGTCTATGCGCTGGAAGGTGGAGAACGCAGGAAGTCAACGATACTCGGCGGTCCCTGAAGGAATCAGTCTCATGCTTTCCACTCCTCCATGACCACCACTGCAGCTGCTACTGCCTGTTCCCGGAATGTGAAAACCTTGGGATCATTTCTTCACTGGTCTTGGATCACTTCATTGGCACTGCATAATCTATGAGGGCCTTGTGATGAGTTAGTTTAGGTGGAAATAGAAAATAAGAAAATAATTAGCGTAGCTGCTGTTCATAGGGTTTATAAACGAGATGCAGAAACCTGCGTGGAGCACATTCATGTATCATACCGCTATGTGATGCACGGAGTGTATGCTTTGCTAAAAAGATAGGTCTTTAATCTAGTTTTGAACTGCGAGAGTGTGTCTGAGCCTCGGATATTATCAGGAAGGCTATTCCAGAGTTTAGGAGCCATAAATGAGAAGGCTCGACCTCCTTTACTCGACTTTGCTATTCTAGGTACTACCAGAAGCTGAGTTTTGAGATCTTAAAAAGTGGGTTGGATTGTTGTGAGACAGAAGGTTGGTTAGATAAACAGGAGCTAGATTATTTGAAGCTTTATAGGTAAGAAGCAATATTTTAAATTCAATACGAAACTAAACAGGCAGCCAGTGTCAGGAGGATAAAATTGGGGTGATAAGATCATTTCTTTGACCTGGTAAGAACTCTGGCAGCTGCATTTTGTACTAGCTGAAGTTTGTTAATAGCGGATGCTGGGCAGCCAGCAAACAGAGCATTACAGTAGTCCAGCCTAGAAGTCATAGATGCAGAAAAGCTAGTTCATGCTTTTGAGATGGATAGTATACTTCCTAACTTGGCAATGCTTCTCAGATGATCAAATCAGCATGCCTATCGTGTCACACATGAGCTGCTGAAATATATCTGTAGTTGTGTTTATGGCCGGGCGTTAGACACACACTCTGTCATTCTTAAGCAGAGTATATGCAGTCAAAACTCTAGCTTTTTGTTTCTTGTTGTACATATTGAAGGGGGAGTTTAAATTGCTATGAAAATACTACAAATAACAGATATAATTATTATTCTGTCCCAACCAATTGTATTGTCCTAATAGCATAAGAACTGCAGAAAGCAGATTGGGTAACTTAAGTGACTTTACTGCCAATTGTTCTTTCTTAATATCTTTCTTTTTTTTTTTTTTTTTGTAAAACTACAACAAAGATGGGAAAAGTATGTTCATATTGACATTTACTTTAACATGTTCAATTCAACCAACAGTACTATTTACTAATGTACATAGTTTTTAAGCATATCTTAATGAACATATGAGAAAAATCGAATAAATGAGACCATTTAATGAGAATATTTGCAAAATAATCATATTTGTTACACCACCAGCATAACGTGTAAGCCATGAAGAAGTGTTCGTACAACAAAATACAAGTGGAATAAAACTGATGATAATCAAATGACGCTTGAATATTTCCAAAAATAGAGCTTTAGTAAAAATAGAGCACTTATGGACATATATTTTAACGTTTAAATCAGCCACAGAATTAAAACACGTGTGGTACTCTTGACTGTACACTGAGAGAAAATGAAAGTAAAACTAATCTTAATGCAGTACTTTAAATGTCCACTAGGTGGCTGGTCAAAACCACAAGTGGCTAGAAGCAACTGCACAACAATGAAAGAAGTTCAAAAATATATGTTTTGGCAGGCCGAATCTATTTTTTTGACGTCAGTTGCAGGCCGGAGGGAGAAGGAGGGGCCAGCAGTTTGAGACTCCTGATGTACAGTGTTTACATTTGATTAATCAATAATAGGGGCAGGACAAAATAGCGAGATGCATGAGCCTTGAAATTTCGCTTTTCATAATGGCGGATCGAACATATCAATGTTAGAATTCTAAGAAATATATGTGCTGTCAATAAAAGAAATGCATTTTATAACTTTTTGATGCATTTTCCTTCATTTACAAATATCATGATATATTGTGGATGTTTTTCTTTTAATATGTTGCTGATTATGTGAGCTATCATTCTCGGGGGCAAAGTATCATGAAAATATTGTAAAAAATCTATTAAATGAGACCATGTGAAAGGAATATTATTCAACATTTCTACAATTGTATATATTTAAAAAAATGCAGTCTTGTTGAGCAGAAGTTGTTCTTTTAAACATTAGATAAATTAGTTAACCCTGGAAAGAGTTGATGATAATAATGCAGTAGTCGAAGTTGTGTAACTATAAACTGTTAAATAAGTTTCATCATTTCAGTTAATTTAAGAAGGTTTTTTATTACTAAAGTTTAATGTAAATATATATTTAGGGTCCTGAGAAAATAAAGTGTTAAGTGAAATCCAGAATAATTAAAATGCAAAATGAATTTGGGCAACATTTATTTCATAGGGCCCTTGATGTTCACATTAATCAGTTTCTGAATTTGCATCTTTAATTAGATATTTGAACATTTGCTCAAGGGTTTGGTTTTATTTAATTCATCAAAAGCCACAGCAACCATTTTAACACATTTTACAAGCATTTTCTAATTCGTTTCAAATCTCTATTATATCTCCTGAAAGACTAAATGAACATTTCCACAAAAATATTAAATAACACCACAGTTTGCATGTTAATTAATTTTTTTTTTTTTTTTTTTTGAGCACCAAAGTTAACTAATAAAGTAATGATGCTATAAAATACTTTAACATTGAAAAAAGTATCACAGGAATAAATTGCAAATAAAAAATGATTTTGAAATATATTTACAGTACAAGTATTACTGTGTTCAGCATTTTATATATTTAAGTAAAAGCAGGCTGTGAAATGTTTTATAAATAGTTATTGTACTGTCCTCCCTTCCTCATTTGTCTCTCAGAAGTTTGACAGCAAGTTAAACTCCATCCATTATAAGTGCAGAAGTGCAAGCTTTCCATCATTCAGCTTTTATTGCAGCTCAGATGAACTATACAATGGATCAAGGTGAAAATAAAAAGGAAAAAGATTACAATTCTTAGTAATAACTAAAACACATCAAATACAAAAATTATAATACACCGTGAGAATGGTGTTAATTTGACACACATTCGTATTTTTGCTTTAGATTTCTGTGTATTCTATACATTTGTGACTAGCATTAAAAGTCTTAAGGCACAAACTATGCATACAAAAAACATCTGGTCTACTTTACACATTAATGTCAGAAATATACATATCTCCCAAATTGAATGTAAACAGAACTTACAGCTATTATCAAACTATTTACAGCAAGAAAATGACGAGGATTACCCACATCTGGCAGTCACACACTTGCCATGCGCTCAACTGCTCACTTCCTGAACGTTTCATCATTTGCAGTTTCTTAAAGTGACCCCTACCGCAACAAATTCACTAAAGCACTTTTAAACAAGGCACAGAACAGTTATACTTTGTTTTAAGTTACAATTTGTGCTGTTAACAAGCCACTAGTTAAAATTTTAGCTCAATAAAACTACTAATTAGCTGCTTTCAAATAGTTAGCAAAATAGTACTTGGACTTAAGTATTATGTAGGACTAGGGATGTACAAACAGATCTTACTTTATAAATACTAATAAACAGAAAATATCTTAATAGTAAGCATGCAATAAGCCAACAGTTAATGGTAATTGCTACTTAAAGTCTGCTTGAAATTAAAAATTACAATGTTTATTTTGCTTGCTCACTTTGCTATTCTTAAAGTGAATAATTCATCTGTGCAAGTCAATCCACTGACAAAAATGTTTGTTTTAGTAATCTTCAATTAAAGTTAAACCATTTCCTTACACATTGAGAGCGGCTTTATTTCTGTTGACGTCAACTTGAGGGCTTACATAGCAACTGCATATCAATACCTTTGATGCACAAAAGAAAGCCCCGCCCCCTACTCAATATTCCATTTCAGTTAGAAGTACATCACAATACTGAAATAAGTCTCAGCAACTTCCAGTTCACACAAACTTTGAACTAAACCCAAATGGATTAGTTCAGGTTCTGCATAAATTGGCACTTGTATGGTTGTTTATGAAGCTTTTGTTGCATTTCTAGCTAATCTACATTGCAATATAATTTCTATTATATTAGATGACTCATATTGTGTAATAATGTTTCTGTCACGCCCACCCACACTCGATACTTGTGTGTTTGTGTTCCAGGTGCTGCCCAACCGGACTCATCCAGTGCTGCTGATGAGCGGAGGTGGAGGATATCTGCTGTCCGGAACCACAGTCGACGCAGGCACTGCCAAAACCAAAAATCCACACAAATCAGAAGAGCCCGACGCCAAGAGGCTGAAACTGGAGGAGAAGGCTTCATCATGTGACAGCTCCGTCTAGTTCACTTTAACTTATTTAAGGGAGAACCTAACTAAATCAGCGTAGACTCGCACGTTTAGCCAGTGCTTTATTCTCTGTATGAGTTGCACGACTTTATTATTTAAAGTCTGTTATGTACTGTGTTATTCCTTTTTTATTTGAAAATTTGCATTTCAGGATCTACAGAAATCCTCCTTATTTATTTTTATCTTGATTATATGTGGAGGAAGGAGAAGTGTTCATCAGTATCCTCTGCACTTGGCTAATTTCCCAATTTTGCTTGCATAAAAAAGTCAATGCACCAGTAAACCCTCTCATACAAAAGCCTATTAGTCAGTGTTTCTCAACCATGTTCCTGGAGGACCACCAGCTATGCACATTTTCCATGTCTCCTTAACCAAACACACCTGATTCAGATCTTCAGCTCGTTCGCAAAAGCTGAAAGATCTGCAATGGGTGTGACAGACAAAGGAGACATCCACAACATGCATTGTTGGTGGTCCTCCAGGAGCGTGGTTGAGAAACACTGTCCCAAGTACCATCTGAAATGCTCTGCATTGTTTGGTAAGACTTTATAATAAGGTTTTTTAGTTAAAGTATTTATTAACATGAACAAACAATGAACAATACATTGATAACAGTGTTTATTATGTTTGTTAATGTTAATGAAAACAAACAAAGTAATTCATTGTTAATGATAACTCAGTGCATTAGCCAGTGTTAACAAGCATGAATTTGTATTTTAATAATGCATTAGTTAATATTGAATTATGATTAGTAAATGCTGTACAAGTATTGTCCATTATTAGTTCATGTTAGTAAATAGATTAACTAATAATACATTATTGCAGGGGTGTCCAAACTTGGCCCTTAAGGGCCAGTGTCCTTCTGAGTGTAGCTTCAACACAGCTGCCAGGGTGTTTCTAGTACAGGGGTTTCCAAACTTTATCCTGGAGGGCCGGTGTCCTGGAAAGTGTAGTTCCAACCTCAGTCAGACACACTTGAACCTGCTAATCAAGCTTTTATTAAGAGAAACGGGTTTGTTAAAGCAAGTCTGAGCTAAAATCTGTTTAGATAATATGTGGAGGAAGGAAAAATTGTTCATCAGTATCCTCTGCACTTGGCTAATATCCTAATTTGCTTCCATAAAGTCAATGCACCAGTAAACCCTCTCATACGAAAGCCTATAAGTCAGTGTTTCTCAACCACGTTCCAGGAGCACCACCAGCTATGCATATTTTCCATGTCTCCTTAACCAAACACAACTAAATCAGATCTTAAGCTTGTTATCAAAGGCTGTCAGATCTGCAATGGGAGTACCATCTAAAATGCTCTGCATTGTTTGGTAACACTTTACAGTAAGGTTTTATTATAGTTAATGCATTTATTAACATGAACAAACAATGAACAATACATTCATAACAGTGTTTATTATGTTTGTTAATGTTAATTAAAAAGTCATTCATTGTTAATGATAACTCAGTGCATTAGCCAATGTTAACAAGCATGAATCTTTATTTTAATAATGCATTAGTTAATATTGAATTATGTTTAGTAAATGCTGTACTAGTATCGTCCATTATAAGTTCATGTTAGTAAACACATTAACTAATGAAAACCTAGTGTCATTCTGAGTGTAGCTCCAACTTTCTTAAACACCTGCCAGGACGTTTCTACGCTCTTAGAAATAAAGGTACAGGAGCTGTCACTGGGGCCGTACCTTTTTAAAATATACATATTTGCACCTATTGAGTCTATAGTAGTACATCAAGGTACATATTAGTACAAAAATACACCTTTGAGGTACCAATTTGGACTCTTCAGCTTCAAATATGTACCTTTTGAAAAGGTACTGCCACAGTGCAGCTCTCGCACCTTTATTTTTGAGAGTGTAGTACAGAGGTGTACAAACGTGGTCCTGGAGGGCCGGTGTCCCAATCAGGGTACTCCAAAATAAACCTGATTTAACATCCACAAACTGGGACTTTTGTAGGATTGAAGCGTCCTCGTTTATAGTCATACTGACACTACGCAGCTGTAGTAACCGCAATCAGACACACACCTAAACCAGCCAATCAAGCTCTTACTAAGCTTTCTAGAAACATTCTTGCAGGTGTGTTGAAACAAGTTGGAGCTAAAATCTGCAGGACACTAGACCTCCAGGACACCCTTGTTCTAGTATATTTAGTAAGGGTTTGATTAGAATTGGAACTAAACTCTTCAGGACACCGGCTCAGTCTGAACACCACTAGCTTATTGTAAAGTGTGAGCTTTTTTTTTCTTAGCATCCTTCATGTGAATCCTTTTCATTGCCTTTAAATTGAAATGAAGATAAAGTTGGGAGGATGAGAAAAGGGTTTTGTATCTGAACATTTCATATGGTTTTAGTAATGCTTAAAATGGCTTCCAGCATCAAAACTCAAATGATATCCACATTCATCAGAGTTTGGTCCCATAATTACACCTTTTATTAAATGCAAACAATAAGCAATGCAGGGATGTGTATTATAATTGACAACCATTTTTTTTAAACACATACTACATCATTCACTGCTGTACAGTAGCATGCTCTTAAACACGGTCAAAAGTACATGGGCATTTTGTTTTCTTGGTTATTTTTAGATGTTAATAAAGAGAGAATATTCACATGATGTAGCTAGTTTTGCTTTTTATAAACTGTTAGGTAGCACTTTAGGTCTCACTTCATGCTATTAACTACTAGCTTATTACCTGCCTATTATTAAGATATTAACTGTTCATTATAAAGTATGATCTTATTCTGCATCCCTAACCCTACCCATAACCTAAACCCCACTTTTAATTTAAACTTACTTACTATTAATATGGAGCTAATTAGTAGTTATGTAAGCTAGTAGAGTTACTTAATGGTTTGTTAATACCGTGAATGGTGAGCTAAACTAAAGCATACCGACTTATTCTTGTTTCTCTGGCTTTCACATTAAACATTAAACTTGACTTGCAGGAATAACAAATGCCTAAAGCGATTGTAATCAGATACGACATATAATAATGCATTCATTTAAAGCGGATCACACACAGGCAACACAGAGAGATGACATCTCGGCTGGTTTTCTGAATGGTTAAGTTGTTTCTGTCATCTGTTGATCCTCAGAGGCCAGCTCCTCAAGTTCTTTTAACTGCTGACACAAAAAGCACAGGGATTAATAGTCGGGATTCTTCAAAAACAATGTCTGAAAGGGGTAGTTCACCCCCAAATTGATTGAAAGTCATCATTTATTCTCCCTCATGTGCAATGGTCTCAAACTCAATTCCTGAAGATCCACAGCTCTGCACAGTTAAGCTCCAGCCAGCTCCAACTCTCACCTGCTTAATGGTCTCAAGTTGTCTTGATTAGTTGGATCGGGTATGTACAGTTAAAGCAAAACGCGTTGATTATAGTTTTAATCACCATTTAGGATGGATATATAAATTGGGATGCTGAAATTGACTGCCATAGTATTTTTTTTCATACAGCTTCCATCAAGATATCTGTTGTGTCTAAATGGGGAAAAGCTCATAAAGCTTTGAAAGCACTTGAGCGTGAGTAAAGGCTGAGTACATTTTCATTTTAGGGTGAACTATCCCTTTAATCCCCCACCCCCACCCCCTAAAAAACTCTGAATGAAAGGAGATGTGTAGATGTAGTAAATTAAATCTCATATTTCCACAAACCCCGTTGGAATGTTACAGGAAAGTACCTTTCAGTTACACAATATCCATCATGATGCTCTTGGTATCCTGTAGAGTCCCCCTATCACTCTTCGCCCTTCAGCAATTGCCGTATTCGTGAATAGTTTGCGGGCGGATTGAATAACTCAGATGTCCTTGTAAAAGGAGAACATTGCTGGGAGGCAGTTGCCACTTTTTTTTTTTTTTTTTTTTTTGATGCACATGTACTAAAGAACCACAATTAGAGTATACCGAGGTACTCTCATAGTCTATCAAATGATTCATGTTGAAGTCCAGTAAGAAGATAATTCAAGTGGAAAATTTCAAGCTCCATAAAGCAAGTTTGATTGCATTGATGTCATACTTTGCTTGTAATTCATCGGTCCAGACCGGTTGGCTTAGGCAGTGCGTGGCTGTTTTTTGGATATAAGGGGTCCATTTGTCATACATCATTGCTGTCACCTAGTCCGCTTAAGAAAGTGCACATTATGGTCTCCTGTCATTGACCTCTAGGACTTGGTGTGTCTTGGAACAAGCTGATGAGTTGAATTATTGAAAAGTTCAGTGCATAAAACTTGTATCTTAAAGAGACAGTTCATCCACCAAAAAATAAAGAAATTCTATCATTTACTCACCCAACCTATCTGATTTTCTTCTGTTGAACGCAAAAGAATTTATTTTGAAGAATGCTGATTGATGGCACCCATTGAAGTCCATATTATATTTTCTCTTTACCATGAAAGTCAATGGATATTTACCAAAATATCTTCTCTTGTGTTCAACATAAGAAGCTCAAAGGTTTTAAAACACACAAGGGTGCATACATTTGTCGGTATAGTGAAAGTCCCTTTAAGACAAGTGACTTTACTTGGGGGCCATCTTTGAAACAGCTCCCGGACAGTATGCTCGGGTATTCTGTCCTAATGAGGAAACCTCAAATTCTCAAAAACTGCTTGCCCAGCTTGCATTTGAATTTCATATTAGAAATCATCAATAAAATTAAACAACTGTCCCTTTAGTGTCTTTTCTAAACTTCCAAATCACACAAAATCTGCAGAAACTCATGCCTGGTCTGAGCCTCTGCCCTAGAGTATCATCAGTCTATAACGTTTGTTGATTGGCTGCTGTACTAGAAGGCAGGCTTTATTCGCCATACTGGCCGTTACACTTTTCCCTAATTAAAAAGATGTAAGTGACATGCTTTCTATAGTCTTTGATAAATGTTCCCATTTTAGAAAAACTATTTTTAGACCTCAGGTTTTTATGTCATCTTTAAGATTCAAATTTAAATTTATATAATCTTTAATGAAATTTAGCTGTTTTTATTGCTTTAAAATTAAACAATTAACATTGTTTTTTGTTTAAAATTTGTATTTAATTTTAAACCACTTTAATCCGTGCAAAAAACCTCAATGTCTCTTCTTTAAAGCAATGTTTAAAAGTCCAATGCTCCAGAATTATATTGATTTGTATTTGGATCTTTGCAGGCCTACACTCGAAAATGGGTGTGACAGTTAAAACTTTAAAGGGCCTCCTAAAATAACAGTGTTCAGAACCATCGGCCTAAAGTTGGGTGTAGATGGTGCGTTTTTTTGCCGTCATGATTTTTTTGGTAACACTTTAAAATAATAGTCCATTAGTTAAAGTCTTTACTAACATAAACCGTAATACATTTATTATGTCTTTGGTAACGCTAGTTGTAATTACTTAAATTAAATAACATTAGTTCTTGTTAACGGACAGTGCTTTAACTAATGTGAACAAACATGAATTTGGATGTTAATAATGCTGGAAATCCTGGAAAATGCTTGATTTTTTTTAATATACTGTTTTCAAGGTTAGAAAAGTGCTTGGATTTTGGACAAAGTGCTTGAATTTGAAATTGCAGGGCTCAAAATTACGACCGTTTTGGTCCCGTGTGGGCCCAAAATTGTATCAATGCGAGCTCAAAATATAGCTGTGAGTGCATAAAATTGTTGCTGTGCAACCAGTTTTCACTGCAAAATGTTCACCACATGTGCAGATTTAGGAGACGCCGAATGCATCTTTGAGCTAAAACCCCCAAACGCAGCACTCAGGAATGGTTTAAAACAGTTGTCATGTCTACTTGGGTAAAGTCTAGATAGGGTACACGGCCGGCCGGAAGAGAGAGATGCACATCAATATAGCAGCATTTTTCATAATTCATATTTTTACAGTACTGTGATGGTTGGGTTTAGGGTTGGGGTAGGAGTAGGTGATTAAAAAATACAATTTAAAAGGTAATTTAATAGATAGCATAAATAATACTCTGTATAACTACTGTAAGCTCATTTTTTGAGATGTTAACTTTTGGTAGAAACTTAAGACCAAACTTATAAAGATACTTCATACAGGAACTGAACTTTTTTTTTTTTTACTACTATTTTCAGGTGAACTATCCCAATAAGTCTATGCTCCAAAGTATTCAACAATTTAAGCTGAAATGTCATACTGTGTTTTTAAAATAGCATTATGGATTTAAATGTAAAATAAAGTACATGCAGCACATAAATGTATGTTTACCATGATGGTTAGATGCTGGAAAAGCAAAAGAATCCACCTTGAAAGGGCTTGAAAGGTTCTGGAATTTGAAGTTGGAAAAGGTGTAAGAACCCTGAATAATGCATTAGAAAATGTTAAACTATGATTTAATGTTTTACAAGATTATTCATACTTGGTTAATGTTAGTATATACATTAAGTAATGGAATATTATTCTAAAGTGTTATCAGTTTTTTTCGGTTGCATGGAAATTGGTGATGTTTTTATGATCATGTCTCGTATCCTGAGAAATACATCCAAGCCAACTAAGCAGCTCACAAGCTCCCCATCAATATACATTTTTAAATCAACTGGTGTGATTTGTGCATGAACATACCATCTTCTGATCATCAGAGCTCGCACTGTTTATGTAATAGTTATAGGTTCAAATTTAGCAACACCCAAAGTGAGTAAAACACTTACAGCTCTCATGAGGTGCTTTGAAATGTGCATTTGTTTATTCCATGTTCGATGTAATCTTAACCGAAAAATGAAGAAAGGGCAACATATAGTGTAGCTCCTCCCCTTTAAAAAAAAACAGCCAATAGAGTTTTGTTTGATCACTGCTCTGCCAGTGAGAGTGGTGGAGCTCAAGCGCATCAAATGGAACGCAAATGAGAAGAAGCTGTTAGGGGGCGGGGCATGTCAGATACTAGAGAGCATTTGATTGGTCAGTATTTGATGATGAACGGAAGTATGAGATGACTAATTAAAACTTGATTTATTTAGGCTGAAGGGACAAACTACAAGCTTTACAAGCTTTCTCAGTCCTGGAGGGCCGGTGTCCTGCATAGTTTAGCTCCAACTCTAATCAAACACACCTGCTTATAGATAGTGATCTTGAAGACACTGATTGACATGTTCAGGTGTTTTTGATTAGAGTTAAAGCTGATCCATGCAGGACACTGGCCCTCCAGGACCAAGTTTGCCCACCCCTGTTCTAAACACAAATTTTGTTAGCGTTTTAGAGCACACTAGCTTATAGATATCCTAAAAACTAACTATACTGATTTACCTTATTTTAATCTCATGGGAGTTTGAACCTCTTGTAAAGGATAATGTCAAGCATACTGTACCTCCTGTTGCGGGGCGCTGATTTCCTCCTCCGGTGATTCCTCTTGTGAAATCAGGCCTCTTTTGTATCTGAGAGTCTTGGCGAGCTCCTCTAGAGTGTGGTACGGCTGCTGATCCATACTTTCACCTGCCTTCTGGCTTCTTTTGTACCAGGCTGGTCGGTAGTAACCTCTGTCAATCCATGGAGAGCGTTTCTCATAGACGTCACCTTTGTTGAGTAGACGCTCCTCTAACTCCTTCTTTTTGTTTGTTAGGTATCTCAGCGCAGCTTCTGCTGAACTCAGTTGTCCTTTGTTGAGCTCCTCTTCGGCCTCCTGGCTGGCTTCACTTTCATCCTCGAGCTCTATGGAGTCGCCACGCTTGTTGCGATAATGTTTTTTGTGGTGATATCTGTGTGTGGGCTTCCAGTATCGCTTTGCAATATCCTCATCTTGCTCTTCAGACTCCTCAGGTTGGGCGTTCGCCAAATCCTCAGTTTGTTTGTAGTGACCTTGACTCCTTTTGCTTGGGAAGTCTTCCTGGCTTCTGTCATAGTCTGGCTCTTCGATGTCCCCATTCTCGCTGCGCTTGTGGTGCTTTTTCTTGTGATGGTATCTGTGTGTTGGCTTCCAGATCCTCTTCTCTATCTCCTCACTTTCTTCGTCCATCTCATCTCCATCCCCGTAGGTCCTTTTGTTGTAGCTTGGGAAGTCTTCTTGACTTCTGTCATAGTCTGGATCTTCGATATCTCCATTCTCGCTGCGCTTGTGGTGCTTTTTCTTGTGATGATATCTGTGCGTTGGCTTCCAGATCCTCTTTTCTCTCTCCTCACTTTCTTCGTCCATTTCTTCTCCATTCATGTAGTTTCTTTTGTTGACGTAGCTCGGGAAGTCTTCTTGACTTCTATCGTAATCTGGTTCTTCGATGTCCCCATTCTCGCTGCGTTTGTGGTGCTTTTTCTTATGGTGGTATCTGTGGGTTGGCTTCCAGATCCTCTTCTCTATCCCCTCATCCTCTTCATCTCCGTCCCCGTAGGTTCTTTTGATCATGTAACTTGGGAAGGCTTCTTGACTTCTGTCATAGTCCAGGTCGTTGCGTTTTTCCCGGCTGGTTAGAAGATGACTTCTTTTATACTCGTAGAAAGGAAATTCCTCCTGGCTACGCTCCTCATCGGGATTGTCACGCTTGTAAATCATAGAGAAAAATCTTTTCTGAGGAAACTCCTCCTGGCTTCTGTCATCAGAATCTTCTCTTTTATGCATGTTGAATCTTTTATAGAAACTTGGGAACTCTTCTTGGCTTCGTTCATCATCCATTCCCTCACGCTTTTCTTTTAGTCTTCTCTTCATGAAACTCGGGAACTCTTCCTGACTTCGATCATCATCCATTCCCTCACGCTTTTCCTTTAGTCTTCTCTTCATGAAACTCGGGAACTCTTCCTGACTTCGATCATCATCCATTCCCTCACGCTTTTCCTTTAGTCTTCTCTTCATGAAACTCGGGAACTCTTCCTGGCTTCGTTCATCATCCATTCCCTCACGTTTACCCTTGATTCCTCTTTTCATGAAGCTTGGGAATTCTTCCTGACTTCGTTCGTCGTCCATTTCCTCACGTCTGTCTTTGGTTCTTTTAACGAAGCTTGGAAACTCTTCTTGGCTCCGTTCATCACCCAACTCCTCCCGTTTGTCAGCAGCCTTGTGGAGATGGTCAATGAGTTCCTCATCTTTGACTTTAGACTCTTCTCTTGGTTTTTTCAGCTCCTCTTGAGTTGGTTCTTTAGTATTTTTCACATCTTTGGAATGATCAGATCCTAAATTGAGGTAGAAATATATATATATATTTTTAAAGTTACTTGTAACCAGTGGTGTAAAACAACAAATTGCAAATGAATAAAGTAATTAAGTAATTTTTAATCAGGAATTGTAGATTACTAAATAGTTTTAAAAATGTGTACTTTAACTTGAGTATGATTTTAGTGCTGTGTCAGTACTTTTACTGCACTATTTTCTTTCTGCCTGGAGTCAGTACTTTTTTTTTCTTGTCTAGAAAGATTGGTTAAGGAGAATAATCAGTCCTGTGATTTCTGTCCTATCAAATCATAAAAGGATAAATTGCAAAATAATGGAATTACTGTAACCCAATATTTTTAATCAGGAATTGTACTTTATATTTTTAAAAATATGTCATTACACTAAACATGATTAAGACAACCCAATATCTTTTTAATTCCCCTTAGCTGGCAAACAGGGCGTGGCACAAAGTGGAATGCTTAATTTACAATGAGAAAGATAAGAAACAAGAATATTTATTCACCCAAAGTATATTTACAAATGTGTACAATAAATGCAAACTAAACAAATTTGCAAGTAAAAACAAACCTTACAAAGGGAAGGAAATGAAGCAGTGCCAAATCAAAGATAATAGCAAATTAAACATGCTAACTAAACCCTGACCATGTCTAAATAACTAAAAGGAAAGCTGAAAATTGGGGAAAAAGTCTTAGGAAAAATAGTAAAAACATACTTAAGTATGTGTACTACTTTTGCATTTATTATACGCATTTGTAAATATACTTTGGGTGATTTAAATATTCTTATTTTTTTCTTATTGTAAATAAAGTGTACCACTTTTTGCCATGCCCCGTTACATATATATATTCTTGTTGGCTTAGTCCCTTTATTAATCCGGGGTGGCCACAGCGGAATGAACCGCCAACTAATCCAGCACATTTTTACGCAGCGGATGCCCTTCCAGCTGCAACCCATCTCTGGGAAACATCCACACACACATTCACACACACACACACACACACTACAGACAATTTAGCCTACCCAATTCACCTGTACTGCATGTCTTTGGACTGTGGGGGAAACCGGAGCACCCGGAGGAAACCCATGCGAACGCAGGGAGAACATGCAAATTCCACCAAGAAACACCAACTGAGCCAAGGATCGAACCAGCGATCTTCTTGCTGTGAGGCAACAGCACTACCTACTGCGCCACTGCGTCACCCATATATATATATATATATATATATATATATATATATATATATATATATATATATATATATATATATATATATATATATATATATATATATATATATTTTTTTTTTTTTTTTTTTTACTTTATTTTTATACATTCAGTGACAGCAGCGATTATAGAAAAAAGAAAAAAAACGAAAGAGAAAAAAAGTAACCCTAGATGTAAATAAAAACAAACAAAAAAAACATTTTCTGTTTTAAAGGAGCTGGAAATACTATGTCCTGTTCAGATACACAGTAACAGGTACCCATCTTTGTTAAAAAATATCCAGTTTTAATTGAAGTTGAGCCGTCATAAACTCCAATCCTATACATAGATTCAAGTCTGTCTATCCACTGTACTATTGTTGGAGAGTGTGGCTTCATCCAATTTATTGTTCTAGTCTTTCTTGCACTTAGTAAAAGTATATGTAGTATATATCTCTGGTTTTTATTATGAGTATCCTGAGGTATCCCTTCAAGCAAGAAAAACAGGGGAGTAAAAGGTAGATCTAACTGCATAATTTTCATAATCTTAATCTACCCCTTGCCAAAATGCAGGTATCTTCAGACAGTACATATTTTTAAAACTACTTAGTGTTGTACAATTCCTGATTAAAACTATTTGGTTACAGTAATTTGATTTAATTGCAATTTATTGTTTTACAATTTGATTGGACAGAAATCACAGCACTGATTATTCTCCTTAACCAATATTTGAAGAAAGCATACTTAAGTATGTTTTTAGTGCTGTATCAGTACTTACCACACTTTTATTTCAACATGCAGTCATTGTCATTCATTCATTCATTTTCTTTTTGGCTTAGTCCCTTTATTAATCTGGGCTCGCCACAGCGGAATGAACCGCCAACTTATCCAGCATGTTTTACGCAGCGAATGCTCTTCCAGCTGCAACCCATCACAGGGAAACAACCATACACACTCATACACTACGGGCAATTTAGCCTACCCAATTCACCTGTACAGCATGTCTTTAGACTTGTGGGGAAACCGGAGGAATCCCACGGGAATGCAGGGAAAAGATGCAAACTCCACACAGAAATGCCAACTGACCCAGCCGAGGCTCGAACCAGCAACCTTGTTGCTGTAAGGCGACAGCACTACCTACTGCGCCACTGCATCGCCCCAACCTGCAATCACTATTTTTTTTTGGTCTACGAAGATTGGTCAAGTAGAATAATCAGAATACTTGCAAAGACCGAGAGAATCCTGAGATGATGGAGATGACCCATTCCTGCTGTATGTACGAGTAAAATCGACAAATGCCCTTAAACAACAACTAAATGAACTACAGAATGCTACGTTTTCAAATACATGCACAATTTGCATAACACTCACTACTTGCTATTCTTGACTACTTTAAGAAGTGCTACTTTTTACTCAGACTATCAGATAATTTGACTACTTGCACTTTGTTTTTGGAAGTTAATGGTACATTTACTTGAGTATGATCTTTCAGTACTCTTTGCTTGTAACTCATTTTCATTTCGGTGTGTATGCATTGCTTGAATACATCCAATTATTAGTTTGCAGACTTAGAATGAAACCACTGACCCATAACCGTCTCATCCAGCAAGCCCGATGTGCTGAGGTTAGAAATGATGGTGATATAGTGTGACCACTCTCGCGCTACATGTCCAAATGATATTTCACTACACATTTAAATGCAAACACTGTTATGCTGGAATTACTCTGAGATGTCTACACTGAAAAAAATATTCATTAGATTTAACATCTTGTTTTTTTAAATAGCTGGTTGCAAATAATTCACATGGGCTGAATTTAAGCTAATTAAGTTGAACATTACTACATTTAAATTGTTTAAATTCAGTCCATATGAATTGTTTACAACTAATTACCTAACAAAAATGTAGTAAATCCAATTAAATATTATTTTGATTGTGCATATTTGATCACCCACTAATAAATCATAATATTCTCCAACCTCAAAAACACACTGAGAGCAACACATACCTTGTGAGAGGATGTTTCTGCATTCTGGATGCAGCGGAGTATCATCGGTCTTATACAGCTCCTTCGAAAGGATCTCAACTAAACACTTGGTAAGCTGAAAAGAAGTAATGTACTTTTACTAAAACGAATGGAAATTTTATTTCTTTGTTTTTTTTTCCATATAGACAGAAGAGACAGCATACCAGCCCCTCTCTTCGGCTGTCCTGCTCAACTGGTATGGACCCTCCATCTGACAGAGTAAAAGCGTGGTATTACAGTAATCGTTATATCAGTATCATCAATTAGCTCTCACTTATACAAAAACAATCTAAAGAAGAGATATCCGTCGGGATCTACTACTATAGTTCTGCAGTGAAAGTGTCGTGCTGCTGACCGTGGTGCTGAAATGTTTATCCAGTGATTCTCTATGTTCAATATCAGAGTATTTCACTTACCCGCAGCGAGGAAAACAAACACGCAGAGAAAAGCCGCGAACTTCATGATGCTCTCAGATGTTTTCTCCTGTCTTTGTTATCCGGATCAGATCTTTTGTCGTATTTTTTTCGGGCTGGATGAGCAGAGAGAAGCTCGTCTGCGGCTCGAAGCGCGCGCTGCGTCTGTTTTGAGCGCGCGGGACACGCGGGTCTGCGCTCGTCAGTTCATGCGCTGCTTACGTCACGCCTAATGTGATTCCTAAATAGGACTATCACACACACACACGCACACGTAAATTAAATTTTACAATACATTGCCTATGTTTAGTATGGAAGTTACGTCGTTGAATTTGTTTATATACATGCACAATTTCATCACTCTTCAGTCTGAGAGTAATTGAATAATGTAAGGAAGTTGACACGTGGATATGTTTTCGTAGCTGGATTTTTAAAAGTAAAGCACCCTTTATAAATAAGTACACCCGTTACAGATCTTGAATGATATAGAACAGGGGTGCCCAAACGTTTTCGTATGAAGGGCCAAAAACCAAATATCATCAAGAGCTGTGGGCCGAAGGTAAGTATACTAAACTATATTACCTTAAAATTTTCCATGGGTAAATTCCTAATTTATTTCATAATATTTAAAAAATAAACCTTTAAAAAAGACCTTTAAATCGTGTTAACGAATGCAGTATATTTTTAAAATGATAAATCATTACAATAAAAACATAAATAATCACATTTATAACAGTGGAATTAATGCTGAATTCACCAGTCAAGCAGAATCTGCCTGCTTACTGATGTCTCTGCATTGTCTTCTATCCATCCAGTGACAGTTAGTCCTTTAAAAAATCTGATTAATTTAAAACTATTCATTTCAGTTTTTCATAGCTTAGCAATAAAACAAACAAACTAAATAAATATTGCATTAAATTAGAAAAGACAGTCTCTAGACCATCCCCAACATACCTTCTCTCTTCTCAGATGGGATGGTGGGCTAAATCAAAGATTAGAATGGGCCAACTTTGATCTGCAGGCCACAATTTGGGCATCTCTGCTATTGAATATGATGTTTATATACAGTTGAAATCAGAATTATTAACCCCCCTTTGAATTAAAAAAAATTCTGACTTCAACTGTATTTACTTTAATTTAGTCAGCACCAAAGACAAAACTGGAGCGAATTTAACAAAATAGCCTAATATAAGATCACAGTGCAAAAGTTAGTACAACACAATGAATGTGTTAGGGGAATAAATGAAATAAAATTTGAATAAAGAGGAAAAATCAAGGGAACTTTTAAAAAAATATATATAAAATTGAGTGGAAATTTTGTAGTGTTTATTTATTTATTTTTTGCAAAACGTAATTTGAATTAAAGTTTCATAAACTCATTTCGAGAGGAGCACGTGATAGGATTGAGCACAGCTGGATTCTCATCTGCAATCAGTAATAATCCAATCAGATTGATTCAAACTTACAATAAATATACCGTTTTCACCCTACTGCCTTATCTTCATTTTGGAAAAATTCCCCCTTCCACCCACTCCTCCTATTCCTCCCTTTTCTAAAGGGAGCTTTTGAGACCTACCCGATCTCAAACTCCCTTTATATGCTTACTGGCCAGACTGGAGCCTTGGGCTTAATTATCTTAGAGCTTAGGGTTCTCTCCCGGGACAGCATGCCAAACCTGTCATTAATGCCAAGCATATCTAAAGGCTGATTTATACTTCTGCGTCAAGCGCACGCGTATGGTTCGGCCGTCTGCGCCGCTGACGTGCACCTCTCAAAAAGGTAACTACACGTCACAACGACGCGTTGAGCAAGCTCTGTGATTGGTCAGCTTGGTAGCGCTGACAAGTCTGGGCGGACCGAGAGCCGCGTGAGCGCTGCAAGCCCGATGGTGCGATTGTTTACAAGTGTGGAGTCTTGTGAAGGAGCTCCGGATGGAAAGTTTTGTGTTTACCTAATAGTTAAAGTTCTTGCAAGTCCGCCGGTTCCTGCCTCAAAATGAGCGAGTTTGAGCCACTTGTACATTCAGGAAGAGTTCAGGAAAAACAAAACACCAGCGAAGAAACTCGACACAGAGAAACATTAACACCTCACTGCCAACTAGCATTTCGGAAGTGTAAATGCAGACCAACAGGGACAGCACGCAGAAGTAAAAATGCACAGCTACGTGCATTGCATGCGCGGTGGGTTACGCCGGTCACTTGACGCAGAAGTATAAACCAGGCTTAAGTGTGAACTCTTGAAATTGATTATTTTCAACGCAATCTCACAGATACTCGTAACTTTTTGATTTAGTGGCTAATTTGTATGAATTCGTACGATCTAATTCGTACAATTTATTACGATTTGCTTATCGCCCAGTGATGGTTGGGGTTAGGGGTGGGGTTAGGTGCCACGTCTCCTTTTTAAAATCGTACATTTCCTTACGACTGAACTCGTACGTATTTGTACGAATTAGCCACTAAACTGGCAAAACGTAAAATACTTAGGTTTCCTCGTGGGATCAGGCTTCCATTGTTTATATTAACTGATTAATTAACTTCACTCATTTATGCAGTGCACAGTATTATCAACTCCTATATGTTAGAGAGCAAAATAAATCAGTTTCCTAAAATGTGAAGCAGAAAAAAATTAAATATACTTTTTAATAATGTAATAATGACAAGCAACTGAAGACCCCAATAATACAGGATCAAAATTAGAGGATCAAATCAGTCATATTTGCAATGATCTACAGTTTTAAATATTCAGTCTATATGAAAGAAATTTTACTTTTTATTTCAACCGTAAAGGTGGTAATGCCTGTAATGCACCTTTAAACACCGACTTCGAAAAATAAATGACTTTTTTGCTGCATGAAATATCCTTTGGTTAAAAAAAGTGTGAGGACAAACCCTGCTCTTCCATATTTATTATATATTAGAACAGACACCCATAAAACCTTTGAGTGCATTGATAGTGTGTATTAAAAACAAATACTCTAACTCAAGTGTTTGAAATCTTACAAGCCCCTGCAATGCAGTTTTATTCCTTAAGCATCACATACTCCATCTAAATAAAGAATAATTTTTAATTATCATCCATATTAATTAAATAAGAACATCTCGTTTGCCTTTAGACAGTGTGTTGTGCAGTTTACAGACGCCGCTTCATTCATGGCCGTGTGATTTGTGAATCTCCAAAGTAATTTCTGGCTGGTGTGCTCAGAGTTTTTACTGACGGATTGCACCTGGGATGTTGTAGTTGACATGAACACGAGGCGCTTGCAGTTAAACAGCAGCAGAATGATGAAAGACAGCCTCTGATTTATGGATTTTTGGTGGATTCATCATCCACACAAGCAGAATAAGGAACAGGCCACATTTTAGCTTGTCAAATGCTGGCAGAAGAGCCTGTGGCCATGTTTGCGGCTCGTCTTTTCATTTCCCTGTGAGACCGTTTGTCTTGGAAATGAATGTTGTGGTACTAATATGAATACCGGAAAAGGTGACAATGCAGTGAAAGCTTTCTGAGTGTGAAAGAAGGACAAGTATCACTTAAAAATGCACCTTGTTTGGCATTTGATTCAAAGTAATAACTAAATTAACAGTAAAAAGGCTATAAAATTGGACTTTAGAGTCAGTAATGATTGAAATTGTTATGTTATATGATTTTTGGCCTTTTATTTGTTAGTATTATCTGGTAATATTCACTTTATAATCAATCGTGTAGCGGAAAAGTGCGTTAGTATGGTTTTATTTAGTTATTTGACAAATCATTAGGCGAATTCAAACACAAAGTGTGGGTTAAATGTAATGTAATGCTTTCAAATACATTAATGCACATTATTTGTAACTTGTCAAATGTAGTTGTGTTAAATTAGTTGAATTTGAACTTATAAATCCATTCAAAGTCAGCATTAAAGGAAAATGTACAATGTTTGTTTTGCTAAAGCACATTGTTAGGATTAAGGTGAATCATTAATCTGTGAAAGTTTACCATTTACTTTCACACTGGAATGGCAATGGATTGAGATGTTTAGCCACCCCCCTTCAACAGTTAGTTTGCTGCTAGTAAAAGATAAGAGGAGTACAAAATTAAACCCCGCCCCCTACTCATTATTCCAGTTCAGTTGGAAATGCATTATCGCACTAAACAGCACATGGACTTTAATTATGAAAAATATTTATTATTTTTTGATAGTTTAGATTAATAAATACAGTACAAGTACAGGTATTATTGGTTGGTAGAACTATTTATTGTACATTAAACGCATTGAAAATGTCTTTAAAATGCAATTTGTTGACATTTAAAATCACTTATTTCACATGCTTTAGTATATTGGTCAACTTGTTAACATATGTGTACTTTCTAAATGTATTACGAAGACAAAAACAAACAAACAAACAATGTACATAAGGAAAATTGGGATACATATTGCATTTTTGTATTGTCAAAACAGTTGTCAGTCTTGTCAAAGTGCACTTAAGACTATTTTAAGGTCAGAAATGGTATATTAGGCTATTTCCAAGTTTAATATTGAGTTTAGTCATTTACTGGCAGTGTTTAAAATCTGAAATTACAACCCCAAATCAGGGACAGTATAGAAAACACGAATAAAAAGAAAGTGATTTTAAAATTGACTTTGACTTGTATTTCATTGCAGACAACACAACAAACATTATTTAATGTGTTCCTCGTGATTTTTTGTTGTTGTTTTTTCAACATTGATTCTTGCAACACATTTCAGAACAAGTAGCAACAGTAAAGCATTTACCACATTACAATGTTGCCATTCCATTTCACAACATTTGAAAGATGTTTAGGGACTGAAGACACCAAGTGTTGAAAAGTTTTAGGTGTAATTTTGTCCCATTCTTCTTCCAAACAAGTACAGGGTCTTCATTGTCACATTTTGCGCTTTAAAATGTGTCACACATTCTTTATTGGAGACAGGTCAGGACTGCAAGCAGGCCAGTCAAATATATGTACCTGTACTTTTTAAATGGTGGCATTACAGAAGTGCAAGTTACGTTTGCCAATGGCACTGACACAACCCCATACCATCCCTACCCTGGCTTTTGTACTTGTTGCTGGAAACACTCTCGATGATCCTTTTTTTTTTCTTTGGTCTAGAGCACACAGCATTCATTTTCTCCTAAAAAATACTTGAAATACTGATTCATCTGACCACAGTATTTCATGTTTCCACT